CAGATTATCCACAGGCATCTTAACGCGATGACGAATGGACCCGTCTTGCATATCAAACAGGCCCTCGTGCACGCTGAATAAAGCTTTCCTCCTGGATTACTGGTGTCCCCATCACGTTGTCACATTTGCACCGCAGCATTACGGTATCTGCGCACAGGCACTGGCTACACGGAGGTGAAGCCTGATTAACATTCTGCCGAGCAATGCGTGTCTATTTTTTGCAGCCGACGCCATCGAGAAAAAAAAAAACCCTTGTGACTCATCTGCCGAATGTCAAGTCCGTTGGTGCGCAATGAGCGTCTCAATTGATTCTGCCTTAAAGAGCTAATCGAAGGCCGCGTTTTCTGCTCGGCGCAGATGTGCCAGAGGAGCAACGGGGAAGCCGAAGGTGTTGTCGCGGAGAAGTGCCATGACATTTAAGAGTGGCACAGGTTAAATGAAAGTTTTCTCTTTATCAATTCTACCCCCACCCGGGGTCGTCAGCAGACGTTCCAGGTGACGGCTCCTGTGAAGCGAAAAAGAACTGCACTTAGTTGAGATATTTTCAGCCGCAGAATTACAGAGAGTCGCGCCGATCTCCCGCCGGGCGTACGGATTATAGAGAGTCCTCCTGTGCAGGTCACACGGGGTCAGGACGCGCCACATTTAATGTAACGCAGCACAGAGGCCTCCGCCCCCCATTACATCCCCAACCCCCTGCGTACGGCGACCTCGAATCAGGCCGCCCCCCCTCTCGGGGTGCCCCGCTTCCGCTTTAGGGGCCGCTCTGAGTGCCACGTGCCCCACGGAATGCGTCATGTGCATCCAGTGCTTCTCGGGGCGTCTCGTCACCATGTGACAGACGGGGCTCCGTCCCCTCGCAACGCCGTCTCGTTAAAAGTCCATTGACACGTCGCCCGCTCGTTTGTGATTCGGGACATCTTGACATGTTTATTCCAATGAGGGGAAGCAAGGGAAATAAACAGGAATGGCAACCAGGACACACTCTGTAAAGAAGGAATCACTCTAATCCCTCGGTCGGTCTACAGACCTTTGAAAAGGGCCTTTGAAAAGACTTGAGGAGGAGGATTTCTACCGTGTTGAGTCCAGTCACACTGTGATAACTGTTCGGCATTTCAAGGCAACTTTGCCAGTAAAAGATTAAAACATCAAGGAGGAGGTTTTTAGGGATGTTTGGCAAACCAAGGTCGGGGTAAAGAACACCGAGGCAGAGGAAGCTGGAATAATATATATACTTTTGTCCCATCGCCGAGGTAAAGACGTCACCGAGGAGATGACGGTTTTTGTTCAGTAACAGTCAGCAGATGAGCATCCAACGATATCAAGCCGAAGTGTTTGTATTTGGCTGGACATTCACTGTTGTTCAAAAAAAATCATTGAAAAAAACGGACCCCATTTGGCGCGTTACGTAACTCACACTCACACTGCTTTGTTCTCTTTTGATGCGTCACAGGAAAAAAGTGGGAGGCCGGAAAAGCGAGCGCATTCACAGGCGTATTCCCCGATGTTTTACACACACTAAAGCGTATGAGCCGGTTGGTCCATTTCACTCGACCCTTGCAGCGACATCACACATTCTAAAACGCTCAAATAACGTAACTTGCCTCGGCTCGCTCGATATTTGGCACCATGATCTTCTCTCCCAAAGCTGCATGCGAGTGAATCATAAGGACAGATTAGGAGCGCAGCCTGGAGCCCTTTAAAGGATAATCAGAGACTAAGAAACGAGAGGACAGTGAGCTTCAGTGATCACGTCCAAGAGCCCTTCATGTTGTGGTGTTAATTTGGAGCGATGCAGATCATTGAGCAGCCCCGAAAAATCTACTTTTCCTTTCCTTGAAACCATCTGAAATCATCCAAACCGTTTCAGTCATTTCTTCAGCCCACTGACTCAGTCACATTAAAAAAGGGAAAAGGACATTTGACATCGATCATCTCTGTAGCCTCAGCTGTCCTTTAAACCGCCAACTGTTAGCAAATTATCAGCACCTTTAATAGCAGCAGGGCAATAAAACTGCTACAATCCGAGGAAAATAAAAGCTTCATGAAGGGGGAATAAAATAAAATAAAAACCTGATTAAGGCTTTTCATCTTGAGATGCCTGCTGGGCAAGAGGCCTCTTTGTGCGTTGGTGTAAGACGTTAGGGGTCGTAATTGAGTTGGTCCCAACGAGGCCGACGACGGGAGCAAAAAGGTCAGCGGCTGGACTTTATTGGGTTGCCGTTGTCGAAATGCTGCTAAACCCCCGCGGGCTCCGACCGTTGGCGACAAATCACTCCCGACAGATAAAGCAGATCAGCTGCTATTTGTGGAAGCGTAACATTTACTCAGAAGCCACGAGGCCCCGGCGCTTGATTTAAAGTCAGCGGAGCCGAGCTCCACACTCGGGACGCTGTACGTACCTGCGAGCTGGAGCAACAACTCACATCTGGCCTCTGTGAAGGACTTTAAGATGAAACTCTGACAGTTACTTAAAATACTTTGTATTAAAAACGCTGACTTAAAGCATCGTCGTCCTGCTTCAATTTGAGTCAATTTGTTATTGTGAATTGTCCCTCTTGTGAAATAATCTTTTTCATTTAAGGTGCAACCCCCCGTGAACTCTCATTTGTCTTTTGACATGTAAATAAGAGACGGGGTTGCTGCTGCAGGGAATTAAATGGTCGCGGCCATAATTGGATGCTGCACACTGAGGCTGGACAAACAATAATGTGCTCAATGTTCTCCGAGAATTATTAATGCACTTTGTGGCAAGAATTTCCTGTCAGGCCTTAAAGTGCTGCGGCTCGAAAATGAACCGTTCTCTCAGCTCCTGCATAATTTAGTCCTTATTTCTTCTGAGTCCTATGAAAGGAGCAGCGGGATCAGTGATGAAGTACGAGTGTGTGTCTGTGTGGAGGTCGGTGATGGTCCCTCGCATAAATAATGCTAGATTGAGTTTTCTTATTAATTTGTTTTCTGACGTGTAAGTACGAGATTGACAATTCAGAGGGTTTTCTTTGCGAGCACCGATGACTTATTCATTAAGATGTCATTTTCTAACACGGGAAAAATAATGGAAAGAACTGAATGGCCCCGAATCTATAGAAGACATACAGTACCAGTCAAACGATTGGACACGCTTTCTCATTGAATGAGAAAATGTCAAATGTGTAAGACAGCGTGTGCTTTCTGTTGAGTACCATGTGGAGCGCAGAGCTGTTTCTTTGCATTTTATCTAGTACGATGGAGGTAAAAAGGAGAGCGCATATTGAGTTGGGTTTTGTCGGTGCAAATTTCCAATCAAAGCAAGATTCCAATCAGGTCTCCATAATTTAGAATCAAGTTCCCAGTGACATCAAAGCCAGAAGAGACCTTTTAAATTGTGGTCCCCTCAAAGCAAGTCTTGGGGGAAGTCTCAAGTCTTTTTAAGTGGCGTCAGAGTCGGTCGAACATTTAGTCTCAATAGACATAATGCATGTGGCCATCCGAGACCCGCCTGTTTTTTATGTTGAAAAAAAAAGTTTATATAGCGTGTTAAAAAATGGTGGTAGTATAGCATGTCAAAAAAGTCTTGTTTTGACATGCTATACTATGACCTTTCAATCTTATTTTGAGATGCTATACTATGACCGTTTAGTCTTATTTCGACGTGCTATACTATGACCGTTTAGTCTTATTTTGACGTGCTATACTATGACCTTTAGTCTTATCTTGACGTGCTATACTATGACCGTTTAGTCTTATTTTGACGTGCTATACTATGACCTTTAGTCTTATCTTGACGTGCTATACTATGACCGGTTAGTCTTATTTTGACGTGCTATACTATGACCGGTTAGTCTTATTTTGACGTGCTATACTATGACCTTTAGTCTTATCTTGACGTGCTATACTATGACCGGTTAGTCTTATTTTGACGTGCTATACTATGACCGTTTAGTCTTATCTTGACGTGCTATACTATGACCGTTTAGTCTTATTTCAACGTGCTATACTATGACCGGTTAGTCTTATTTTGACGTGCTATACTATGACCGTTTAGTCTTATTTTGACGTGCTATACTATGACCTTTAGTCTTATTTCGACGTGCTATACTATGACCGGTTAGTCTTATTTTGACGTGCTATACTATGACCGGTTAGTCTTATTTTGACGTGCTATACTATGACCGGTTAGTCTTATTTTGACGTGCTATACTATGACCGGTTAGTCTTATTTTGACGTGCTATACTATGACCGTTTAGTCTTATTTCGACGTGCTATACTATGACCGGTTAGTCTTATTTTGACGTGCTATACTATGACCGGTTAGTCTTATTTTGACGTGCTATACTATGACCGGTTAGTCTTATTTTGACGTGCTATACTATGACCGGTTAGTCTTATTTTGACGTGCTATACTATGACCTGTTAGTCTTATTTCGACGTGCTATACTATGACCGGTTAGTCTTATTTCGACGTGCTATACTATGACCGGTTAGTCTTATTTTGACGTGCTATACTATGACCGTTTAGTCTTATTTCGACGTGCTATACTATGACCGGTAAGTCTCGTCTCGGTGTGAGAGATTCACACTTTTCCTACATGAAGTCAGGCACCGGCTGTCTGTGAATTTGCATAGTTCATTTTACTACTGCCACCGGCTTCCGAATTGCGTTAACATCCATTTATTTAGATCAATATTGAACCGCAGAGACAACCAATTACGCTTTTTCCCTTTGCATCCATATTTAATGAGTTTCTGAGACACGCTTGGCCGTACGGTTTAGTTGCACGTCGGTTTAGTGGCAGAGAGCCGTCACTCAGGGGCAACAATCAGGAGCAATTCCTGTTGATAGAACCTCTGTGAGACGGCGTTCAACCTGGACCTTCTAAACTGCACTGTAGTTGTGTGTAAAATGCGACTTAATGAAAAAGAATATAATATATAATGCATTTCATGTCGCGTTCAGGGAGTGCAGGAGGATCCCCCGCTGTATGCTATGACCTTTTTAAAAAAAAATCACTTTTCAACGTGCTATACTAAACATTTTTAATATTATTATTAATTATATAATTTGATCAGAGCTAAGAAACAGCGTACTATAGCTCAGTCATTCAAATTCATAGCAGTGCTGAGTGATAAATAATTATTCCAAAGATGCTTCATATATGTGGGGAAAAGTCCCATACAGAATATGCTGGTCTAGAAAAACTGAACGTGCGGAGCAGTAATGATGTATTGTTATATATAATTTACAAGAAAAATGGCAATCATTGAACTCCTCCCATGCACGCTTTCTGTACATACATAATGTCTTTACATGTATAGAACAATCCAGATCTAAAAAGAAAGAAAATGTATTTACAGATATGAAAATAGAGTGTAATCATAGCAGAGTTTGAAACTAAAACAATACATGGACTAAAATGTGCTACTAAAACATTTGCTCAAAACATTACTCAATACCTATTTTGGTTTCAGTAAAAATGCTTTTGTGTACACACGTAACAGGAATAAGGGAAAGCATTTAACCATTTCAGGGAGTAAAAAAAGAAAACCTCAAAAACTCTATTCAAATACGTAATTTCACAAATCAGGAGCATGAGTGCCAGGCAGCGAAATCTGGGATACATTTGTTCCAGAATAATTAAGAATATCAGTTGATTTTGACATCCTCTCTGCTTTGCATTAGTAATAAAGAGATTATGTTCATCACGAATGTCCATTAGTTACACCCGGGCTAAACGTCCTCATGCACAGGATGGAAGTATTATGAGGCAGCATTTCTTATCCTGTATTTAACAGCACCGATTCAGTGTGAAATGTTATTTCTGGGTAAAACTGGATGAACTTTATCCCTAAATATCAACATACACTAATGTAGAATTAACGATTCGGTTGTCTCTGAGGATATGAACTCCTTGTGAGAATAAAACACATCTCCCGCTGCCAACCTGCCTCCTTCTCCCAAAAAGAAAAGGCAAAAAGCATACTGCATGTTATTAGGGATTAGCCGGGTGAGCTGTGGGGGGTGTTTGGCGTCGGTGACTCAGCTCAGGACTCGCACATTTTCCTCCAAATTGGCCCGAGGCTCCGCCACTGACATAATGCCATTTAATGAGATGCCCAAATCCACCAAGGAGAACAATTCAAAACGTTGGTGCAAATCCTCTGCTCCGTCTTTAAGTTGCTTTTAGCCGTCAAACCTGCATCTTAGAGAAGTGGAGGAGGTCCGGGCAGACCACACGTGTAGACCAGGAGGAGTAGAGGAATGCCGGTTGCTCGATCCAGGCTCAAGCCTTCTTCCCCCAGGTTTAAATCTTATACGCTTTAGGTAGGAGCTCATAAGAAAACAAAACTATTGCATCTGAATAAGACGAAACCCACTTAAAACTATATTCACAGGTTGACCTGTCAGTTAGGACCAGGCTTAGCAACCTGCAGCAGAGAATCTTTTGGAACAGTCTCAACTAAAAAAAAAAAAAAAAACATCTCAGAGCGATGGGCGGGCATGTGGTACGCTGTCCTCGAGGCAAAAAAAAAAAAAAGCACACCCTGCTGAGATCAACAGTCCAGCGACCGAGGGAATCAGTGCGGCGTCCCCTTCCTCCTCTGCTCCAGGGCGTGCAGGCCCTCCTGGCGTCCCAGGGCGTGCTGCGTGCCCACCTTGTGGGCCGTCTCTGTGGCGGTGATGTCAATCTGCGCGTACTTGGTGGAGCTCCTCCCTGCCGAGACACGAAAGGAGGCCCGAGATTTGAATGCGGGTCGGATGTATAGAAACACTTTGGTAATTTTGCTTCTAGTGGGAGAGATCCTCTGAACTGTCCAGGGACGACAATTCTAACCAAAGAGCGCGTGATATTAGGCAGATGCATATTTAACAAAGGGTCGAATTTGAAAGCCTTTAAATTTGATTTATAATCACCATCCAGGGAATAATCCGAAGATGAAAGGAGAGAATAAGGAAGTAAAACTGCCCAATAATCTTGTCGGTTTTTGAGAAATAAGCTTGTTTGCTTTCATAACAAGAATTAGAGAAGCAGATTGGTAGCAGACAAAACTTGAGCCAGCTCCAACTTGTGGTTTTATAAAGGTGAGGTATAAAATCTTGAATGAGACAAATAAGCAGATTTCCTAGTTTTTAAGCATATTTTCAATTGGCAACAATGTAATTAAGACAGAACTGGACCTTTCAGATATGAATATATACTCTTTTTGTCTGTACAGTTTTGTCTTTGACCTACTAGACAAAAGAAAAAAACATAATAACTTTTTCCAATTCCAGCCAATTCCTACCCCGATTAGCTGAAGCCAATTAATGCTTTAGAATGCAGCAAAAGCATTCTTCTGAATCAGCATCCAATTTCGCGAACTGCTGGGAACATCCAAACCAAACACGACAACAGAGAGTTAAGTGGATCTCTGCCCCCGCTGCCAACGTGATTGCTTGTGGTCTGCGGCGCCGTGTCGCCGCGCCAAGCAGAACGATATGGCAACGATTCAGCGGAAGCCTCTTAACAACCCCCCTCCGCCCCCCACCTTCCCTCCCTATGCAGCCCTCCATACAGCGCATCAGTGGTCCCCCGGAGGAGGAGGACCGCATGTGAGCCGGTGGATGCCCTCTACTGCGCCGCCTCGGATGGAGAGGACGCCGCCGTCTTTCAGCGAGACGGAAGGAATGCCGCGGAATGGCTCGGGAGCCGACGGAGTGAAATAGAATTACAGGCTAATCATGTATCTGCGGCGACTTTTCATGTATCCCGGCGCGTTTTTAAATTGGCTCTTTCAGAACCGTCTGCACGGCTTGAACATCTTTTTAAATATTGCCTTTGCATGGAGCTGCACGGATCAGACACGGATCAGGAAGCCTTGTGTTCAAGACAAGAGCACGAGGTCAAGACCGAGGGCATTTTACATCGACCTTAATCAATTCAGTAATGCCTTCACCTGCATATGAATGAAATATCCTTTGAATAATGAATATGCATCATAGAGTATTCTATATTTCCAAGCTTATGACCATGGCGATTTACAGCATTTCCTTTTGGGCTGATGCCGTGAGCGCGCAGATTGATATATATATATATATATTAACATTTATACAGTGGACCAAAAGCTAGATTTCATGTATGTTTAATAAGAACAAAGGAGTTCTGTGTGTGTGCGAAAGTAGATCAATTCTGACGCAATATCAGTAAAAAGGATGAGTACAATAATGCTAAATGATGGCCATTACTAATTTATTAAAAGTGCCCTTTAGGGCTCAACAGACACTAAAAGAATATTTCCCACTGAGACATTATTAACATTTCACTTTGAGAAATCAAAACAGACCCCTCCATACATTTTCTGACCGTTCTTCTTGCCCGACACCAACCGTTGACCTTTGACTCATCAGAGGTTATGCATGCCTTACGCTGAGGGGGGGCGTGCGCCGCGGCACCCGGCTCCTGCAGCTCCAGCTCCATGTAGTTGAGCTGTTTCTTGGATGTGGGACTGACGGGAATATTCACATACGTCACGCCTTCGCCGCGAGGTCTTTCGGGGAGCGCTGCCTCCGGGGGGGGGACGGACGCCGCCGCCGCCGCCGCCCCTGTCAACAAAAGAGTTAATTGAGTTTCGGTCATACGTGTCGTTGACAGAGAAACAAAAAGAGGCAGAAACTTAATCCCACAACGACGCCACAAGCAACAAGTGGTTCGTCATTGTCTATTTATTACAATGAGCACTGGCGAGTTATTTCACTGTGTCTGTTCAAATCTTTCTTCAATTATGTCACGTAACTTTTTCGGGTGTACCAAATAGTTTTTTGGAGAGTTCTATGACACATATGAGGAATATGCTTCACCCGGCTGTGGATACATAGACAGTATGATTCACATGTCCTTTTACAGGAATTGTTGATAATATTAAAAAGATAAAATAACTCAAACTTTTACTTATTTAAAAGGAGAGGATTACTAATTTGTCGTTATGACCTTAATTAAATGATAACAGCGACAGAAGATTTTTGCCTCCAGGGTTGAGAGTTATTGAGGAAAAAGTCCTTATCAACAGCGCAAACGTTAATTAGTAATTAACATCCTGTACTTAATATTGTTACGTTAGTCATTTGAGTCTGCACACATCTGCAGCAAAACGCACAGCAGCAGATCTGGGATCAGCAGCCACACTGGCACACATTGCACAAAATTGCCCTTGTAACTTATCACAAGCATTAGGGTCATTTTATATCATGAGGCGGTAAAAGCACCTTGTTGTCAGTGCTAGAAATCCGATCCCTTAAACATGTGGAAACCTGGTGTGTTTACAGACACAAATGTTTTTGTTTGTCAAATTAGTGGCAAAAAGAAGGAGGCCACAAATTAAGCTTGCAGCGTCACCTGAAAAACACTACCAAGCTTAAAAAATATTTTACTAAAACAACTTCTGCAAATAACACAATATCCATTTAAACGTATTAATTTAACCAATTTTTGCCACACCAACTGAGGTACAAATCCGAAAAAGAGCTCCAGGGTAAAGGCTATTTATTCGATTGTCTTATTGAGACCGTTTCAGGCCAACAGCATAAAATATGCACATATTTTATTGCTTTTCTTCAATGTCCGTGTCTAAAATGCCATTAAGGATAAATAAAACCTTTGGTGCACTCAAGGATATCTGTGAAATTTCCCCACTTGCAAACCTGCATACTTCCGTTCTCCGCCATGAATAGTGTGTAAAGCGTGACGTTCGGGGACTTTTGACTCCCCCTAAACGCTAACAGACAGATCAAACCCCCCAGCTGGGGGGGAGGTCAGTCACACTGTCAGTGAGAGGCCATCAGACGCCGGGAGAGTGCGGCCTTTGGCGACGCCCAAGAGGAACCGATTCCTGATCTAGAAACCCGGCGGCTCCTCTCGGAGGTGTTACGTTTTATAACGCCCCCCCCGCCATCACGCCTTTTGACAGCCACGAGGCCGGGGGACGCCTCCGGGGCGCATGTCGCTCAGGAGGGAACACCTCGTGTCCAGAATTACACAAAGTCAACCGCTTTCCAGGGAAACATGACGGGTTCGGTGACAGCTGCGTCTCCGGGGTAACCGGCCTGCGAGAAGATGGGGGGGGGGGGGTTCTACCTTTTACATGACAGACGTTGAGGCAGAGCTGGAACCGACTGACCCAAAAAGGCCAATGCGATGTTACACAGTGTTTTCATATTTACCGCTTAGTTACTCTTCAATAGAATAGTGGCGAGAATTTCATGCGCAAGGGGGCGGAACCAACCGGCGGGTCCCATCAGTGTTGGGACGGCATCCTCAAGTAAACCTGAGCCGCCGGACTCGGCCGCCGTGCCGACCGTCCCCGTCCATTAACTGCTCTGTTCGTGTGCGTGTGTGTGTGTGTGTGTGTGTGTGTGTGTGTGTGTGTGTGTGTGTGTGTGTGTGTGTCTGTACGCAAACATGACAGATGTGCTCGGTGCCACATCCTGACATCTGGTGGGACTTCCTGCAGCGGGTGTACATTAGACTGAGGGTACCCTTTCAGAGGCGGTCCCCCTCCCCTCTCCGCTTGGGCAAGGTGTGACGTCAACACGTCACCGCGCTCGCCGCTTGTTTGTGTTTTCTCGTCACGCGAGTGAGTGTTACGTAACTCGAGTAGCGAGCGATTATGAAAAGCGATCCTGTTCATTCCTGGCCGCCGGTCTCACTCACCTTGGTCTTCCTGCAGGAACCTCTTCTGCCCACAGCTGCCCATCAGCTCGTACTTGCTTTTTTCCTCCGCCTGCGGCACACAGCGCGCAGCGTTGATTAGAATCTGCGGGAAGCAACTACGGCATTAAATCTATTGGTAGAAGTTGGTCCGCCACAGCTCGGCGGACACGTCAGGAGGAGGCCCAAATCCGTGTGGAAACGATGGTTCATCGCTGTGGATGGATGACCATGCAGCCACGTGATCTTTGATCCCGCACAGCCACTGTGAGCGCCGCCATATTGGCACTGAGAATGTATATAAACAGGTGATCAGCTGACTCTAAGTGACAACATCTTGGAGGTCTTTGCGTTGTCAACCAACCAACCTCTATTGTCCCTTGACTTTTCTTACTTTTGGCTTTTTGTGTCTGAAAAGGTCTCATCTCGAACCCACGTAGAAGTCCAAAGCAAAAGGTTTTAAAAGGTACAGTCCATTAACGGCTACCAGCTCATTTACATCATTCTCAACTGCTTATTCCAATCCACATGCGGGACGACTAACCGGACATCAGGTTCAAGACCACACACTTTCCCCGTGTTTAATTTCAGATACTACTTGAACCTATTATTCCTGCTCTTCACCCTCGATATCGGACACATTGTTTAGCTGAACTCGCAGCACAATGAGCTGCAGTCAAAATGTGTCGGTGGTTGATATCATTAAAGCGGATTAGAGGTTTTTTAAACGGGCCTACCTCCAAGTTCCTCTCCAGCGGCCGACTCTCCATGATCTCATAAGCGGGATCGGCTCTGCGTCTTTCCCCTTTGCTATTAAGCCTTTTGTCTGTTGGGGGGGAGAGAGAGAGAGAGAGAGAGAGAGAAACATTTTTAACATAAGAAACTGCAAACTCTTGTGCCAATAGCCGCGGCATAATCATTATCCCACAGCGCTTTTTAATCCATTCTGTGAATGACTTCAGACAGGCTGCTCTTTGCATGAATTCCTCCAGAGCTCCAGTGGTGGGAGGAAAAGGAAATGATAGTGGATCGATTAATCATCCTCTATTGCACACGGGGGGGCTTGAACTACAGATCTGGATGGGTGACATGCAGAAGATAAACGTGCAGCCCTTTAGTGCCATTTCATGCTCTGCGCCGCCTTGTTAGTTACTGTAAAGAATATATGTCGTCATTAGGCCAATAGTAAACTGATAAATTAGCCCTCCAAGTTTTAGTGTTCTTATTCTACTTTGCGTATACGTGCACAAAGATACTCCTGCTATAACCGGGTTGGAGGCTTATAATGTTGAGCTTTTTAAAGAGGTGCACATTCAGCCGAGGGCGCTGACTCTCGTAGAGCCTGTGCATAATTTATGATTTCATAACTCGCGCCGCAACAACTTCGGCCCCGTTGACTTTTCAAAGCCCTCGAACTCAGTTGTACGAGCAGCACAACAAAAGGGAAGGTCACAGAGTGCGGAGGAGGAAAACAAGCAGTTGATTAAACAAAAGAAGCCAGGAGGAAAAGAGGTGTGTTCATCTTTTTTTTTTTCTTTATTGATGACGGAGCGGAAACAAAGAGGAGGTCCACTTTCGGGAGGTCGGCGGAGCAAAGGGACGCCACAGGGATCGCAGCAGCTTTGCTGGGAGTCGAGGAGAACATTGGAGAAGAGGCCTCTTACCTTCGCCGGCCGCTGTTCCACCATCCGGCTCCTCGCCGGCAGACGGGCGAGACCCGTTCGTAGGCGGTCGAGAGGCGGGAACCTTCCCGCTGCGTCTCTCCGCGGCGGGGGGCACCCGCGGGGGAGGGCGGCAGTGCTCTCCTCGACACTTTAAACAGTTTTCGTAGATGACGGCTCCTCTGTTGTCGGCCCCCGAGTCGTGAGATGCGGGCGTACGGGCGCCAGTCGGTGCAGATTTCAGCTCATTTCCCAAACTGGGGCTCATTGACTCGTAAAGGTTCAGTCTGTGGCTCTTCGCCTCAAGCTGCCTATCGGCATTTGGGAAGCCGAGCAGATCAGCTAAGAGACTGGCTAATTTATCTCCTCCTTTTCTTGGCAGCGGCGAATCGTCGCTTCTCCTCACCGGTGGCTCCTCTAAGCCGCGAGTGTTCTCAGACCCAGACGGTTTATCCAGAATGTTCCACGCCGCGATATAGTGTTTAGCGGCGTTGCAGGGTCTGCATGGTGATTTGTCAGCACTTTGATCTGCTGGATTGAAAATATGATGTTCCGGAGGCAAAGAAAAACCTTCAACATGCTTTGATTTCTGTCCCAATCAGCGAGCTCTGGCTGCAACAGCATAATATTACTGTTATTTTGACCCCAACGTGCATCCACTCTGTCCATGCACGCACGGTCCAATGCATGCAATGAGGTGTGCATGCAGCGCTTCACTTACCTGGTATGACAGGTATCACTGAAGCACTCGCAGGGATGCATTGGGTCCCCTGTGAAATAAAAAAAACCCCACAATTAATAAATTAAATTCTTAAAAGTGGTTCAAATTAAAGAAAAAGCAACAAGCTCCAATGTTTAGTTGAGAGGCATCTTAAAAAGGAACCAATTGGTTCCCAATGAAAATGTATATCTGGAAAAACAGGGCTTACAAATATAACCTTCATTTTAGAGGTTACATAGTTTTCTTTAACAGTTTAGCATTGTGGTTTTTATGAAATGATCACTTAAAAGCTCACTCCAGTGGCCTGTTAGGTTTCTATAACTTTTATACATTAATATTTAAAACTTAAAATAACTCCAGATGAGTACACCAATCACACTGAGAATATCGTGTTTCTACACATACATCCGTCTCTTGTCTCACCAGCAAAACTGAACAATTTGTTAAACCGCGAGGCTCGTAGAATGAATTCCAATGAACCATCTTAACGCATGTATAAATATACTTATTCAAACCGCGTATATTTAGTTGTGTCCCTTTAACTGTGAGCCAATAAACACCTCAGGGCGGAATGTGTTGCTCGCGCTGACTGTGATAAATAACCTCCCACACTCCTCTGATGTGTGATCCATAAGCTTCTGGCCAATAACTCGCATGTATTATTTAGTTCACTGAGGACTGACGGCGAGGAAACAAAAAGACAAAAGAGAACACGTTGTCCAGGTAAGCAACGGCAATTTGTCTTTCTTGACCGAATGCACTGCCAGTAGGTGGAGCTGTTAGTTTAGAATATGCAGTGAACATAAAACTGCCCTGGACGCAACAGAACAAAGACGCTCGTGGTGAGTTTGCATCTGGTTACAATCCCCCTGGAACCACTTTACGATCGTCAAACCGAGGATTAAAGCACACTCACTTCACAGTAAAGTTTTTACTACAAGCTTCTTTTCGGCATAAACAAATTCCGCGGACATTCAGTTTGGAGTTTACCTGCTTCTCCCTCAAGCTAAGCCGTATTAATTCAGGCACTAAATATGCACAAGAGGTCACGAGGTTAAAATATTCAGGCGTACGATGCCGACTTGTGGCGCAGATGGACAATGCGACTGCCACTTGTTGAAGGTCATATGGACAGTGAGCTACGGAGCAGATGATACAGTGATGATAAGGCCTTTTTTTTTGTGAGGGCCGCTGCGTAAACAGATGGCCGACGATGATGGAGCGGCACTCATATCTGAGCTTAGTCGAAGTGCTTTCTTTTGTTGCAAAAAAAAAAGAAAAAAGGATAAGACGATATTTTTCGTCTTACCTTAAATCCACCACAAACTAAGCAGATGGTCACAATGGTTTTGGAGGCAGACGCGAGGGGGCTGCAGGTGTGACACGAGTCTTGCTGTTGGCTCGAGGCCAACCAGCTTTTCCTACCCTCCTGCGAGGGGATCTGCGAGTGTTCACTCGTCGACGGCCTCTCAGTGGTTTCCGAGTGGCCGTCGGCGGTCGCGCCGCCGCTTTCATCCTCCTCCTGCGCCGAGTCTGCGGCGAGGCCTAAACAGGCAGCTTCCTCTGTTGAGCTGGAGGGTTCGTTGTCTTTGGCCCCTCCACTCGCCTCCTGCAACAGACTCCTGGGGCTCTCGTAGAGGTACCGGAGCGAGGTTGGCGCTCGGTATTCGTGGCGAGGGACGGTGGCGCAAGTACAGGGGCTCAGGTCTTGAGCCAGGCGGGGCGGCAGGCTGAGAACGGAGCCGAAGTCCTCCCCGCTGGTGATGTCCAGGCTGCCCGTGCAGGAGGAGAAGCTTCCAGAGTAAGAGGAATGGCTGGCGGTGGCGATGCCGCTGTCAGAGGAGCTCTGGCGGCCGATCTCCTGGAGCTGGCGGGGGGGCTTGGCCGCGGGCCGCTCGACGCCCCCCTGGGTGACGGAGAGCTTCTCGATGCTCTGCGAGGCCGATTTAGCTGCCGCGTGGTGGCCGCCGCCGCCGCCGTCGGAGGGGTTGGAGGCCGGCTCGGTCCAAACGGCCGCTCGGCTGCCAATGCTGCCGTCTGATTGGCTGGTGTCTGACGCGTCAGAGGAGCCGGAGATGCTGCGGTCGTCTCCGCCGGCAGACGGGCAGTACGAGGACGAGGCTGCCAAGGAAACATTAATGCATGCGGTTTGAATCGATTCCTTTCAGAGACAAAGCATCATAACACCATCGCGCAAGATTCTTCTCCCAATTATTAACCACATAATAGGAGCCATAAATCAGCAGGGTGTGTATCATTACAAGCTAATGCAGCATTTATTCCCTCGGGGTGCCTCGGGAAAATCCTACGACGAAACACCCACATTCAGAGCGCCAAAATTTGTCAAATTAAGCTGTAGTTTCACCCCCTTTTTTCTATTTTGAATCCCGGCGCACATCAACCGTGCCGTACCTGTGCTGCTCTGGTGAGAGAGAAGGCTCAGTCGTTTCTCCAGCTCCTGGGCCTCGTGGTCCAACCTCTCCTCCAAATTCGTCTGGCTGGCGGAGAGTTCTGTTCGAGAGAGAATCCCAAGAATAACCCACAATATATATTCATACACATATATATATTCAATAGAAACACACAAACATAAGCGCGTACAATGTGTTCATCAAACAAACTCTCGAGTCTCGCTGCCGTCTGTGAAAACAACAACCCCAGAGTGACGAGTCGGGACCCTTTAAGCCCACGAGAGCCACCAAATGATGTAAAACAAGCACTTTGGCCAGAGGGCCGCGTGCTGTCATTTGGCCCGTAAGTGTAACAAGCCTTTTCCACAAGCTCAGGAAAAAGGGGTCATGCGGCAGTGTGTGTGTGGGGGGGGGGGGGGCACTTTGCAGTATTTGTGTAACACTATTAGGTTTATTAATAGCGGTGCCACGTGGCTGTTGGAGCTAGCGGCTAAAGATCGTTGGCGGCGTACAGGGAGCTCATGTACCTTGGAAGGTCAACACTGACACTGGATTGATTTTTTTTAATGTGGTAAATGGACCAGAACGCTGTGTATATGGTAAAGTTCACATCCTACATGAGGAAGTTTAACTTAGTATAGACAGTGTCCTCGAATGTATCGAGTTCCTCTACATGTTGATCTTTGATTTTCAAATCTACAACTCCAAGTTGCACATCAGAATTAACATATTACAGTCAATCTGTAGGTTAAAAGTCCAAACTGAAATATTTTGAGCCAGGATTTCCAATGTTTGAATAAATATTAATCTTATACAATGTATTCATTACTGTTATATGTTGATTATGAAATATTTCTCCCTTATTTTAAACTTCAAACCTTGAACTAAATCCTAAAGCTATTTGTCATGCTCATCATAAGAAAAGGTACAATTGGAACTGAATGTTTTTTTATCAAGGTTGTTTGTGGGGACATTTGAAAATAAATACTTCACATTGACAAGGGTCAATCTTAAAATACGTGCAACCCAACCAGAATAAAATTGATTCACTATAACTTATTCAAATAATATTTTTCTCATTTTCTTTCTTTTCTCAAGATGAAAACCTACTTTCATCTTTAGACAAAAATACGTGTATTTTTAACGATAACAGTTCTTATGCATCTTGGTGTTTCAAAGACCCGAAGAATCTGTGTGGCATTTGAATTAAAGTGTCCACGGTGTTCGGGCAGCATCATAAACATCGTATACAAACTGACACATTTCACATCCGTCGCTATGGCCGCAACCAAAAAGATCTGCGGCTACCTCATCTCAGTCAACTTCCACAAATATCTCCTCCCCTCTGATCAAATTAGGATTTTCTAACTCGACTGTAACGCGGTCTTCACTACATTGACACTTATTGCATGCATTTATATGAAAGTATAAATGTTCCCCCCCGGGCGTCGTCTTTGTATCCTGGGGACTGAACAAATAGCAGCAGAGAGCGAGAAGCAGAGCGAGGTGGAAACCGCGCAGCGGGCAAACTGATTTATGCAATTAATAAAAACACAGAGGCGGAGAGATTTAGTTCGGGGGCAGCGTGACAGCGACAGAGGCGGAGACGAGGGCAGAGGTGAACCGTGGAGCGAGAGACATAATCAAGGGCTGCAGAGAGCAATGGGAGTATAAAATGAGCGGCGGGCGACTGAGTAGGAAATCAAGTGGGGAGGCAGCAGTGGAATCCGGTGGATGAGGTTACACGCATGCCGGGAGTGATTAGGAGGCTTTGGCTGCTCTGCTTTGTGGGAACTGTGACTTTGACCCCTCGCTCTCCCCCAGACATCCTCCCCGCTATTTATTCTACGACGCAGCACAATAATAGCAGTATGAGCTCAACCTGTGATTGAAGGGGGAAGGGGGGTGTGAGAACCCGAATATCCACCAGGGCCCACAGCTGCATCGAAGTCGTTCGCCGGGAGAGACAGTTTCTTTTAAAAGTGCGAGTGTGAAAAATGGAAATGTGATAATTTGACAGCTTTGGTAATAAAAGACCAAGCGTCCAAATGTGTGAAAATAACAGAAATAGAAGAAATCACAAAGATAAGATAGAGGGTTGACAGTGGGTATGACTCTTTGTATCAGAGACCATTTCCACTATTTCTATTTAATATATCATGAATAGAGACAGCAAATTAGTACACAAGTACACAAAATATCTGTAAGACAATAGATTATGTCTGTAATTCTTTTTTCTATGCGCCAAGTTACAGGTCAGGATTGATTTTAAATTTAAAACTGCAATAAGTGAAGTTATATTGACATATGAATGCCTAAAAAACCTGTATGGCTCATGTTTCAGCATTACATTACAAAAAGCAGCTTACTTAAACTTTTAGCTCCATTTTTGGTCGCCACCTGCTCTCGAAGTGATTGTCGGTCTATTAAGCTCCTAAACGATCATCAGATAGTCGCTAAAATGATTCGTTTGTGTCTGCCGTTGAGCCAGTAGCGTACCGCGCATCTATTGGGGCCTTTTAGCCAAAACGAGCACTCACACAGAAGCTGGAGAGACTTGGAGCGAGACGAATGAGAATGAGCGAATGAGAGTTGATGGCAGCCGTAAGGTCAGACGATAACTCGCTCTGCCTTCATCACTACATATGATCCTTGTCACACTGTCATTTGATCCATTGTTGATATAGAAGGAGAAAAAAAAAGCAATAGCCATAAATTCAAGAGGAGTTCTATCAGTTTGTTTGTTGTTGATTGGTTGTTGAGATATTTGATTGGTTAGCATGGAATTGAATAAACACTGTTATTGTCATCTCACAAACACCCTCGGGCTTGTACAAACGGGGGCCGAACAGTGAAGACCACATATTCAGACCAACGTCTAACCTTCGTGCTTGACACCTTTAACAAATCGAAATCTCGCACGAAGGCCGTGATGTAATAAGAGCAGAAAATAAACCGAATGTCTATTTGGAACTCGGCCCGTTCTCCAGCGTGCCCACCAGTAGCACTACACCCTCGACTATACATAGACCGCCATTCAATTTGCTTTCCATAACCACAGTTAGTACAGTAGTTATCCTCCTGACATATGTTTAAGGTGACCCAGAGCTTTACGTTCATCACAGTACATTTAAATCAGGGGTTAGGGCGTTTGACTAAAATTATAAATTGCTTCAACGGATTACCCAATTACATAAAAACAGCTGTCAGTCATATTTTAGTCACATAAAAGCACAGCCATGCAGGGAGGAATCCTTTGAGTCATTCTGCCAAAAACGATTGGATTCCAGGAAGGGAGCACACCTAACAGCTATGATAATCCCTGGAGGCACAGGAAGGGAGCCAAACACGGTTTGACACAATTTAGACTTGTTGACACAAGTTTTTCTCCCCCCCACACTCCTTGGGTGACAGCAAAGCCGCTTGTCTTAATCGGAAAATAGGCATAACACAGACATCCAGCTTCTTTCTGTAAACGACGTTCCTTACAAATGATCCTTTCAGTCTCCCTGCGGGACTCAAGGTTTGGTATTCCGGTCCTTTTTCCGACAAAGCACCTTTTTAAACACATCTGGAACTGACCTGGTAAGACGGGCCGCAGTCCAAAGGGGCCTCTGGTGGGGGAGATGCCTCGGACGATGCAGTCGAACAGAAAGCTGATCTGCTCGCTCTCAGCGGACGCCAGCAAGAAAACACCGGCCCCTGCAGACAGCAGACTTTGTCAGTGTCACGTTAGCCAATATTCACCAGAAGTATCCGCTACGCCCAAATAGGGACGATTCCTGCTAGTGCTGCTACGACTGACATTCATTCTTTTAGTTTGTTCGGTCTCTGCGTGTCAAAATGATCATAATAATATAATTCATACCGAGGAGAACATCATTGTCCAAACCAAATTACATGGTAGTGCATCCGATTGACAACTATCAACGCCACGATGGCACGAGAGGAATAATCAGCTGGGCATCATGAATATCTGTACAAAGGATTGATGGAAATAAATTCAATAGATGTCAAGATACTTCAGTCAGAGGATCAAAGAGGTCCAAATCTTCATTTGCCATCTGAAAGAAGAAGCCACATCACGATCGAAGACGGGGACAAATCTGGCCGGTCGTTCAGGGACATTCTTTGGCACTCGTCAGTTTCTGATTCAAAAGAAATCCCTTGGCTTGGCTGCTCTTCTGCATTTTTCTTTTTGACGACGTTCTAAACTGAAGCCAATGCCATCAAAAGGTTGGATGGGATTGCAAAGGTTAAAGGCCACGCTCCCCAGGGGTCTCTTTACCTCCCTCCAACGATACAAATGGGTGTTCTTTACAAGGTGTCCCCGGGTACACCGGGTGGTTGTGTCTCCCTGTCCCTGAGACCACCCATCTCAAGGCAGGCTTCAATAACATTCCCAACAATCCCCTTTTAGGGGGCAGGGTCAAGGGTCCGCAGTCACGTCTGCACCAATCTACATTGAATACGTATAATTAACTTCAACTTAATTGCATTAACCTTATATTGTGCTCTCATCGGTCACAGGAACTTCCTTCAGGGTTCAATGTAATCTCTGCAAATCGTTTCTTTTGAAGGAACCACATCTACTCGTGTCACGCGTTTTGATAGCAGGTGACCAAACATCAGGTGTCAAAGGTTGGAGTTAAAACAAGTAAACAAAGCAAAACCAACAGGACAGGTGGTTTGGGCTGGTTTAGGTTACGACAAAGATTCTGCACAGGAACAAAAACAACAAGTGGACCCGGCTGGTTTCGCCTCTCAAGAGTGATTAAACAACAGAGCATTAAAAGGTGTTCAGTTTAAATGTACTAAATTCACTAAAGCAAAGGCTTAAAAACTATAAAATAGAGCAAAAAGATCTTCCAACATTCAACAAATCTTCAAAATGTTTGCCATTTGTACTCGATAAATTACTACTATTATTGGTCATCTCTTGTGATAATCCACTTTTTAGAGTTTGTTCAGTTTCTAGTTAAGATTTCCTTGACTATTACTCTGATTGTCAGATTTACAGTATGTTTGATTCATTGATTCATTCATGTGATAATAAAGTATTATCCTCACTGATTCTCCAACCTTTCGCTCATTCCCTTCCCATCCATCATTGTCCACCTGAACACTCATTTGAGCCCTCACTGGTCATCGAACCCATCAGGATCTAAAAGCTCTTTTCTGTGTTTCTTCACGTTATCCACGAGTGAAGATTCGACGGCGCTAAATAAATCACGCTGCACATAACCCACGTGTCGCGTTTCCCTCACAGTAAGAAACGCTAATGACAACAAGTATTTGATCGCCGTGATCGTTCACATTCCATTCCAGCAGTTGATAAACTCCACGTTGCAATTACTGGTATCAGGATCATTTCGATCGGTCATAGCAATGTGCGGTATTGTGGACGGAGAAAGGCGTCGATTACCCGATGAGCTGCAGATTTCGTAAATACGACGTTAGCTGAAGTAAAGAAAAATAAGAGAACAGACCTACGAACATCAACACCAGGGTTTCTTTAACTTATCCTGTAAGGCTGTGGAGCTAAACAAACCAACCAATGGTGTGAAGCCTGATTGTAGGCTGTAGCATTAAGAATTCCCATAATTTGAACCAAGCAAAACAGGACAGACGCAAACAAAAGCCTTTTTCTTCTGATAATTGCCGGTATAACGTGTACTACGCATATCATTACGGTACTTCACAGACTGATGAATGAAAGCTGCAAATTGATCATCTACAATAACAGCTTATGTGGTCTGTCTGCGAAAGACGCATTAGAGCCATTAGCCTCTAATGATGTGACCCGATTTTAATCAAGATCTTATTTTCCTGACACGATGCAGATAGGGAGGGTCTGAAGTAAAGATAACTCTGTTCTTTTTCCCTTATTTGGTTATCTTAACCGTGCTTCCATACGTTTTCCTGTCCACGCTGCTGATGTTCTTCTTTCCAAGCCACCCATTCGGTCAAAATGTTCACAGTTGCTTCAGTTCCCATTATGCAATTATTCCCATTAAGAGTCAAAACTCACAGTAACCACATCTTGATCCGCCCTCGAACACGAATCCATTGGGTACAGGCCCATATCTGCGCAGGTCTGGAAGGTTCCAGTGGCCGATGATCACCGGAGGGACGTCCCTGGCCAGAGTCAGCAAGTTATTGCACAGATGAAGAGTTGCGGGTCCACTCTCCAACTTGGTCCCTGGTAAGACTCCAACGCTGAATCTGTGCACTGCGGAAACAGAGAAACCAGTCAGACCAACAATGAAAATCTCTCATCTTTTTTCCTCCACCCCCTTAGTACTTGAATTTTGCCTTCAAAAAGGAGAAAGAAACAGTGTCCTTACAAAAATGATGACTTCAGCGGGGATGAGATGCCAAAGGTGACGGAGAATGAGATCAGCGAGCTGAGCTCTGACAACAGCCGCCTCAGATCTGAAGCCCAAAGTAACCGACCGAAGCCCGTCGCAAACATCTGCATAATCCAGCTAGTTACACACTGACGGGGAACGGTGGGTGTAAATTTAGAAAGGCCCGTGGGTTTGCGGCAGCGGCACTGAGCCAAAGACTCCTGCTGCGCCGAGTAAAAGTCTTTGATTGACGGAGGCGACGACAGGGACGCGTCAGCGGGCGGCGCCTCCTCGTCACAACAGTGGACGAAAGATTCGTGCCGCAGAGCGACGAGAGAATCCGATCGCAGACGTTATATATAAATGTATAAATGGATTCCCACGTAGCACATCAGACTGGAAGGGTGTCCTCTACCACAGTCATTACCGACGCCTTTAGAATTCAGCTGGACTTTGGCCACCAGCCGAACAGCCCAATGCTATAATTAGCGACTTATTTGTTTATCACTTACATAACTTATACAAGTACAACCGTGGGCCTGAAGCTTGCAGCATCGGTGGAATCTTTTAAAATCACTTCTCGACCCATTTTCTTTTTCTTTAAAGATCACAGTTTTATTTTAAACACACTTTATTTCTTATAATGAGTCATCTGATGATTATCGTAATGTTGTTTCTTATTGTCACTATACATTTTTTTACTTTACGAATGTCCGTAGAAGGGAATACAACTACTCCCCTTGGTCTGACTCGGTCCAGCCAGCGTCTTCATTAAAAGTGTTTTCATCCCTCATAGTGCCTCTTATTACATTTCAACAAGCGATGAGAAAGTGTTTCCCATTTTATTGCCAAAAGCACTTTATAAAATCCTGCAAAACCTCAATAAAAACACAACAAATACTTCAGAGAGGAGTTTCATCTGGGCAAGTCAAAACCACAAGCATAACCACAAATTACGAATTGCTTCCAGATGCATCTCTCCGTCCTGGTGACAGCTGGATATGACTCTAGAATATGAATCGGAATTCTCTTGTATGAATGGCAGTTACGAGAGTGCAGCTTTTCCAAAAAGCGCTGCAGCGACGCCCCCATGGGGGGGTCGAGGGTCGCTCTTATGGGACTTCAGATAATAAACAGACTTCTGCCAGCGCGACGGATGAACCACCCGGCTTGCTGACAATTGCTTTGTTTCCAGTTTCGCGCGGTTATATTTCGGTAAATAAATAAAATAAACGCGAAAGGGAAAGGACACCCAAACCAAAAGCACGGGCGGAGCCCCCCACCTTCGCCGAGGCTGTACCGGAGGCGGGCGTCCCACGCCTGCAGGGCCTCCTTGCTGTCGAAGCCCAGCAGAGCGGCCTGGTTCAGGCACAGCACGGCCAGGGTGAACGCCACGCCGTCGTGCCACTGGCCCGCCTCCACGCCGCAGATCTCCTCCAAGGTCACACTGGCCCGCTCCCTGCTGCCCTGCGCCTTGTCCGCCTTGTCCTTAAAGACCAGCAGCACCAGGCAGTCTGGAGTAGACGGAGGGTGACAATGAGCAGAGACACAATACAATTATATATATATATATTTTTTTTTTGATGGTTTGCTGAAAATAACTGGAAACACCATCCATGAAGTCGGTGATTAATCACATTGTAAAATACTGACACAAAGTATCCCGACACACAGTAGCCGTTGTAGCGTCCCGTTGTCTTTTGGCACCTTCAAGCAATCAGTGTCAACTGACAAAACAAGACTGTGTGTGTGTGTGTGTGTGTGTACCTCACTCCTTCACACACAGACACACACACTTCTTAACCCTCCACCGGTGAGGCATTGAGCGCAGACAGCTGTGATAACACTGACATCAAAGATGTGAAGAGGAGCGGCACTCGACCTCGGGTCCAACCTGTGAAGCGTGTGAAGCTGTGCAGCAGCACATATTCAAAGAAGCCTTTCTGCGTAACGCAACGCCGCCACTTTCCCCAAATCCTCGTCTCTTGTTGGGAAACGCACAGAAAGGCCCGAGGCGAGGTCGGTCCGAGATGACCTCATGCTCCAAATAACAGGAGGCGAGTCACACAGAGCATGAACGCGTGTCCAAATACACAGCAGGCCTCAAATCCGCTCTAAAGAGGCAGAAATGCTTGGTGGGGAATTGAAGCGGGTGAATGTGTGACATCCAGAAGGCCCGAATGAAATCCGTGCACCAATCACATCAACAGTGAGGCAACAGAAAGAAAAGAAAAGAAAGAAGTAAAGACAAGAGAGCCACAGAGCAGGATTCTAGATTACAAACGACTGCACAGACGAACGCACGTTTCACGTTTAAGCGCCTTCACCGACGGAATAAGGGCAAACGTTTGCACTTTAAATGCAGTGCAGCCCACACGAAGCGGGGCTCGTAAACACGGAGCCTCTGCGAGCGGACGACGCACACTGATTGAAGAGTCTGCTTTCCTCCTCAGCGGCGCGGCGAATGTGCGCAAAACGTCGCAGAGAATAAAGCGAGAGGAGCGCAAATTCGTAATTTTCTTTCTTGTATTTACCTGCTACAGGAGACGGCTTGCGCAGGACGAGCCACCTAGTTTTCCACTGTGGAAGAAAGCAAAAAGTAAAGTCAAACGTGTCTTTTTGCTTGTTGTTGTTGTTGTTGTTGTTTTGCGTGCGTGCGTGCGTGCGATAACTTCCGCCGTGTCCGTCAGCAAAACATATCGACGCGCTAAGCACCTTTTTTCCATCTCGGAGTCTGGCATATCCCTCCACGACAACAGAATCCGTCATCTTCAGTCATGGTTCCGGACAGCTGCACGGTCGCTGCCTGAATGAGGGGGTCACTTTCAAAATAGCCCCCCACCCCCCCTCTCTCTCTCTCTCTCTCTCTCTAACCCAGAGAGAGAGACAGTACCTTGGGCTGGTTTGCACCACCTGCTGCTGGTGGTGCTGCTGGTGGAGGAAACAACTACATGGCTCTCGGGCCGCAGGTACCACGTCTCCTAAGCAGCGCTGACAGGGGACGGGTCTTTATTCTGGTTCGTGCACACAGTCGTGTATTTTGCAATACAATACAAAAAAAAAGTCCCAAATGGCTCGGCGTTGGTGGAAGGTTACATTCTCTGGTGAAAATGTAGCTGTGCGTTCTGCCACTGAATCATACGTATAATGTTTGTATCATAAAATCAGTTCTATATATTGACATATAGCATTAAGAAGAAGTATTTTGTGTGATATTCAGTTACTCACAACACAAAAAGCTCTACAAAGTCAGTAAAGGTTTATTCAGTCACAAAATGTTTCACAGTTAGAAATAGATAACTCATAAACTTCCACAAGCAAACAAAAACAACAGTATAAAATCTCATATATTAAAGCTACTGTCCGGGTGACGTTCCATCACGAAGCCTTGGGTTTGCGTCTGATCACTGAATTGATCCAATCGATATAGTTCACCACCTTGGTGTAAACACCAGGTTTTCCGGAGGTGCCGCAGCCCTCCCCCCAGCTGATGATCCCGTACAGGAAGCTGACGTCATTCCTCGCGCAGGCCAAAGGGCCCCCGGAGTCGCCCTGTGGAAAGACGCAAATAGGAACGGTTCACGCGCGTAAACATACGTGTGCGCGGATCAAAGCGGGAGTCGCAAGAACGCCTGAGTCACTCACTCCGCCTGATTCATTCCTAAAAATGTGCACTTAACCCGAGAGGTGGACGTAAACGTAATCCCCCCGCTGCCATCAGATTGTTACGCTGACGACGCGGGACGATACGCAAACAAGTGGTAGAGGACGATATACACACGGCCGACCAGTGAGAGGGCTGTGAGGAGGTCGTCCTACCTGGCAGGCGTCGGCACAGCCGCTGAGCCCCGCGCAGATCATGTCGGCGGTGACGTGGTTGCCGAAAACGTCCGGCCTCCTGCACACCTCGTGGGGAACCAGCCTCACCCCGGCCTCCTGCAGGCTGGAGTAACCCTCGGCCTCTGTCCAAAATAAACCCATCAATAAGCCCTTATTAGCTGAGGTATTCTTACCTCGGCATGTCCCGATTTACTTCATCAATTCAGTCCCCTCCCCCGACACCACACTCACTCTCGTCGATGTGTCCCCAGCCGCTGATGGTGCAGCAGTAGCCATCGGGGAACGTGGTGCTTTTGTCCGGGAGGCAGACGGGTGCGATGAACGGGGTTCTCCTCACGCAGCGCCCGTCCTGCTTGGCCAGTTTGATCAGGACTGACGAGCGGAAAAAACGCAGCGTTATGCAACGAGGTGGAGCGGGGGGGGGTGGGGGGGGGTTCCAACGATAAGTGTGTGTTTGTTTGTTTGTTTGTTTGTGCGGGGGAGCACGGGGACACAGCTGCTCAGTGACGCACAGCTGTGCACGCAGACCGCTGTGTTTCTTCTTCTGGTTTATGTGAGTCACTGGTGTGTGTGTGTGTGTGTGCGTGCGTGTCCACTTAATGCTTACCAATGTCATGTAGCGTCGGGTTAAACACGGAGAACTGCTTGGGAAAGATGTACTTCTCCACTCCAAACGTCCGAGTGTTGGGACCAGTGGCGTTGAAACTGTGCTGGCCGAGCACCACTCGAAGCTGAGACATCAGGGGGCTGAGGGAGGACACAAGAAGGCGTGCGTCACCAACCGTCCCGTCCGACACATTAGTCCGCAACCAAGTTGCCTTGACAACCACCAGCTGAACATTAAATGGGCCATAAGACGCCGTTAAAATAATTACCCATAATACAGTTCTGTGTTCTAAGAACCCAGAGCAAAAAATGCAACTTTCACTTTTGACGTCCAATTCTAGTGCGTAATGATTCAGCTCTCTGGACTTGGGCGATGACAGCAGATGCCTGTTTGCGGACATCAAAAGGGAAACGTATGCACTCGCATGTAAGCAGCGTCTGTGCGTGAGACCTTTTTAGGTTTTCCTCGAACTGGATGTCTAAATATAGGGCGTTCATAAAGCTGCGGTGCTGTGTGAAGTCTTTAAATCACGCGCCTTTTGAGCCGCGACCTCTTGCTCGGCCGCAAAGGTCGGAAAAACAAATAATGCTTCCCTGTGAACCAAGAACGTCCTCTGGACGCTCACGGTTCTTTTTCATTGCTGACTCGAACTTAGTGCTTTCGCTCTTTTCTATACGCGGCTGTAAGCTGAAGGGCTCTTGAGGACACAAAATGTTTCACATCCGCCACGTACTTGCGGAAGAAGCAGTGAGCCGCCGAGACGATCCAGCACGAGGAGACCAGGGTGCCGGCGCAAAAGTCTGACTTCCCGATGTAAATGGCCGCCATCCAGGGGTGAGAACCGGGCAGAGCCGCCGTCCCGAGAAATATCCGGCCCATGGCGACCGATCGCCTCTTCTGGTGCTTTTTGCCACACGCCGTCGTTTTGGCGAGCACGGAGGGTTTGGCTTCTCTGTCTTTGGGGATGTTCCTTCGGGGAGAAGCTGCGCGAAGGAGAGAGAAGAGTGAGCGATTGAGCCAAGACACAGTGGTGCGACGGCTACCATTTGCAAGCAGGAACTACGACTGCAGCGAGCGACTACAAGGCGTTCTAAACGGCTACAATGTTCCGCTACTGCGCCCTCCCTCGGGTACCTCTTCTGCGTGTTTTCGCTTTGGTCGCCGGCTCGTTCTCCCCTGCAAAGAGGCAAAAAGAACACACGTGTTCTGTCGGAGGCGAGCGTGTTGCGGCAACAGCTTGTGGGCTCTGTGCACGGCCAAAAACGCCGAACCTCGCTGCGCAGAGCGTTCCGCTGCACCTGACATGACACGTTGACTCAGGGTGAGTCAGGCCTCCATTCCCCTTCACCTCAGGGGCAAGCCCACGTTATTCAAAACAAACGCCCGGCTGCAGTCCACCTTCGGAGCGGCGTGACTTCGCACATTAGCCGTATTGTCGAGGTAAAAGACGAGGCACTGCGCGAGGACACAGGGCTGCGAGAGTCAAGTTGTGGAATGTTCCGGCGATAAAAATCGTCCTCTCTTTTCATTCCTAATGAGGACTTCATGTTCTAACAGGGGGAAACAATAAAATTGACGGCTAGATGAGTATGTCATCCTTGATGAGGAAAAATGGTTTCTGCTTTGACTTACCTAAATAATAAGGCCGATAATACCAGAGGATTTCTCAACAGTTGAACCAAATGATTAAACAGCAATGTGGAACATCAACGTATACAAACAACAATCTCTACAATATTTGAATGTTATTTAGGTGGCGTTTTGCCTCTTCCGGAACTGTGAATGTTTGTTTGTTTATTTATTAATTCATTTGCAAACAAAAAGAGCACCAAGCTCCTTCCCGGTGCCCCCTGTACTCACACGCAGACATCACACAGGACGGGACGTCGCAGTACTCCCAGGAGATGGCGCCCTCATGTAGTGTGTAGCACCACGGCATCTTGTCGTCATCTAGGTTCCTGCACACGCGGAGACACAGCGGATAGAGTGGATGTGTGTGTGACGTGTTATGACACAGCTAAGTGGCTCACAGGGGCCCCATTGCCTTTTTTCCTCCACCGAGCAGCAACATGAAACTGTCCCGGGAATTTGTGCTGAAAATCCTCATGTTTGGCGCCAAATGTGCTCAGGTGTCGCGGGGCGGCCCTTCGGGTCTCGCTGGCCAGCGGGAATCTCAACACACACCTGCAGTACGCGTGCTCTCCGAGGCCCTTGAGGGCCGACGCGGCCGCCGCGCCGACGTGCAGCTCGTCGTACAGCAGGTCCGAGTTCCACGGCAAGCACCTGGCGCCGGACAGCGTGGTGTTGGCCAGCCCTCGGTAGTCTCGGCCCCGGTGGTTGTAGCACTCGGCCTCGGGGTCTGCGCGCACACACACACACACACACAATCAGACCACAAGGGTCTCGACATGTTAACACCTCTCGCACTAAAATCAGTCAGAGCACGTCCTCCTCGCTGTACGCTTTCACAACAATTGCCCCAATTGTAAAGCGCACACATGCAGGAACACGCGTCCTGGACAAAGACCCGGCAGGGAACGCCGCTACGGTCCTGCTCTCACTCACCGAGGCCGCAGCGCGGCCCGCTGTGGCCGCTGCGGCAGTTGCACACTTCCTTGCCGGTGGAAGTGATCAGGCGACACGTTCCGTCGTTCTGGCAAGGGTTCGACCGGCACACTGGACACACACACACACACACACACAGAGGTCAAACCTTGATAGCATGCATACTCTGCATTTACACAGCTCGTAGGGGGAGATGTCTGCCCCCCAACCCGCTCAGCATCTGATGAACTGACAGTCCAAACCGGACTTGATATACAGACTGACCCTGACCCTTGAGATCTAATCTGTGGAATACGCCTGAGAAAAGTGACGTGTGTTTGAGGAGGAGAATTTGTTGGCAAAAGACCAGATTGTGGAGGAAAGTCAAGGAGCGTTCAGGTGCATTTCAGGTTTTCTTTCCACTGTAGAGAAAAAGAAAAGCCCCCACCATCATGATAGCAAAACGGTTTCGGCTCAGCGAGGATGAACCCCCCTTAATTTGTCTCTTTTTTATGGCAGGGATTCCCCCCCCCCCCCAGCCCACCCTCCCACATACCCCCACACCCTTACATCAAGATGAAAGCTCCTTACGGCCCCATGGGGTGTGTCCAAAACCACCATTCATGAGTCACAGCGAGTCATATAATCTGTCTTTTCTTCCGAGGCAATGTTGGTCATGTAACTATGGAGCTGTGATCAAAGAGGAAAAGCATGGGGGGGCGGGGGCAACACTTGAGAAGTGTGAAACAGGAATCAAGAAAAACCTAAAGAAGTCTCTCGTAATCGCCATTCGCGGTTAGTGTTTTAACAGATGTTGTAGTGTACAGAAATGCACTCTCAGTCAAAATCAACTAAACCGGCTCGGCGTTTTTCAACCGTTGCACGCAATCGTCCCCGGTCGGGTTTCCCTCTCGCCATCTGAACAAAGCGGGGCGAAACAAGGCAAAGGCACAATCGAAGCTTGAAAGCACATCTTACTGGAGTAGCGAGTCCTTTCGCACTCGATTTCCCCCGACACGCACGTGCACTGTTCCACATTGCGGAGGCGAATCCGTCCCCAAGACTCTCCGATGTCATAGTAGTGCAGGTGTGCGGTTTCGTAGCACTTCTCTGGGGGAAAAAAAGAAAAGCAAGAAGCCGGGTAGACGCGTGAAAGACATTTAGGGTCGAGATGTGAGAGACGAGGTTGAGAAGCTCGGTGGAGCGTTTGATGGCCGAGGCTCTGCTGCATTCCGGGTGGATCCGGGTTCTTTTTTGCTCTTTTTCTTTTTAAACTAACTTCCCCCGAGAGAAGGCAGAAGCAATAGCGTGACATTTAATTATTGATGTTTGGCAAAGAAAAGATTTTGAATCAAGAGAAGACGTAATTTGAACAGTACACGTCTAACTTCGTTATAATGGCAAAGCACGACAAAGACAAGACTTTCTCAAATCTTTTTCTGATGCAATTTCCCTGAAACTTTTATCGTCACAGTCGTTCTAAGCATTTAAGGAGCACTTGGCTTTTTTTGTAATTTCATTAGGTTTGATTAAGTTTATTTCCGAAAGGTTTCAAACAAATCTCACTGCCTTCATGAGGAAATGGAGTTGGCTCAGGTCACCCGAAGGTGGTGTGCGACTCCATTCATCCAAACAAACTCCTTTTGCAGATGAAAACCATGAGATGCGTTTGAAAGCTCTGGAAGAAAGCCAGTAATTATTAGCTGCAATCATCTAAAAATATCCTAATAATATAGCAGAGTGACAGATCCCTGTTGCCATACGCTTGCTTTAAACATCCTGAAGCTGACAATTACTTGTTTGTCTTCCAGGAACTATTTCCTGGCAGCGACCTGTGTTTCCTTTGGCAGCTGTGAGGTGACGGTCAGCCACATGTGCACAATGCTGTGAAAACCCTCAACTCCAAGAAGGCCCGGAGGATAAAATGCTATTATTATATAGATCATTTCCTACTGCACCCACTCTTCTCGCAGACGGTCCCCGTGAACCTGTCGGGACAGGAGCACTCGAACCAGCGGCTGTGCGAGATCGGCGTGCAGGCACCTCCGTTCTGACAAGGATTCACCGCGCACGGGTCCGTGTTCCTGCGCGGCGTTTGGCCGGAGGCTGAAAAAAGAAAACGGTTGCAGGATGAACGGCGTGGCGCTCTCGTGGGTTCGATTCTTTAAAGTGCGCCGCGTCCGGCGAACTGACCGGTCGGCCGGGTTTCCTCCAGCGCGCAGAAGCCCCACTGCCGGTCGCGGTCGAAGTTGCTCGTGAGGGAGCACCTGCAGCGGAAGAGGAGAGCAAAACGGACTTGGATTGCGGATGTAGGGAAATTGCATTTGGAGTGAAAGTTAAGACCACGTTGTAAACAGTCAGAGGTTTCGCAGTATCGCGTTAATCGGTGGCTTCTCTCCCAACACGACGGGCAGGTGGACGTTAAATCTTGAGGGAAATATCTCAAGCGACATTTGTTACGGACATTAATCTGTAACACATTCCTTCATCTCTTCGGACGACTTGTTACTGTGTAAGAGCCTCAAGTGAAATTCCCATCGGCCTTGAACGTCCTTTCTGTAATCAGACTTAACTAATGACTCAAAACTAGGATGGTTGATCTGGTGAGTCATGTTTTAAGATTTATGCTTCATACAGTTAGACAATAATTGATTATTCTATATATTTGAAATGTTGATATTGGGACTTACAACTACTTTTCCTGTGAGAAGATTATATTCACTCCCAAATGGTATAGGAAATACCTGCAAGTTCTTATGAGACAGTTTAACAGGCCAATTTTATTCAGGGAGAAAGAGAAGATCTTTGGCAAACGCAACCAATAAAACCTGACTAACTCTGTTTAAAGTATCCTCCTGCACCGCTCACTGCATCTGCAGTACATAAGGACAAACCTTTTTAGATGCATGAGCACATCAGAAAAACACGCAGGGTCATATTGTGTAAACTTCATGTGCAGGTGGACCAGTGATGTTGGGCCATATCATGTTGCTCCAACTTGCTGCTGGCACCCACCTCTTGTCTCACATCCAAGAAATGATGACTGGGAAGCCCTTGAGCCATTTTTTCCAAAATAAAGATCCAATAAAAAGGAGGATTTTGTTACTGTGACGCAATCGGCAGCAACCGAAAAAGCACACAAGTTACCTTGATCGAACCTGATAAAACTGTAGGAAGCAGTAAATGGGTTTAAACTACAGAGATTAAGATGGATTTTCTACGTTTCTATCATTCTACGATTCAGCATTAGCTGTAATTGCCCACGACTACACACACGAATACACAAGAAATTGCCTCGAGCCTTAATCCACGTCATTACTGCAAGCGAACGAGACAAACGGGTGTGACGTCACACCTGCGGTCTGCGCGCGAGAGACGCAGACGAGGTGTGCGGACCGCGAGCGAGTGTGACGACGCGACACGTCAAGTGCGTGTGGCAACTTTGCGCGGTTGGACGCGCGCATCGACGGTGGTTTGCGCAACCAAAAAGCGCGCAGTCAGGACTCACCATGGTTTGGAGGAGAGGACGGTGAGGCAGTTGTGGTGAATCCTTCCACCCTGACGGAATGGGAATTTACATTCTTTGTCCGTTGTGGTAAACACTGGCGGCAGAGAGAAGAAGGAGGGGAAAAAAACAGCTTCAACATATTTATCAATGAGTCAAGCTTCAACCACGGTCCTCATGAACACATAAGGGCAAAAGAGTGGAAACGCAAACTGTCTTGAGTTCACACCTCACAAAGACAATTAAACGTGAGTTAATGGCCATGTGTGTTTGCACATAGAAGTTGTTTTGACGTGGTAATGTATGCATAACAATAAACAATGTAACATGGCATCTAAAATAAAAAAAAAGGTTTAAATGAACAATGCAATTTGAAAGAAATACAATGATCGTGTTGTTAAAGTGTACAGATGCGGTTCTGCTGCTGTGAGGCAGAGCTTAAACCACATGTTTTAGAATTACGTTGCACCACCAACTTCAGCTGGAAATACATCACATTCCCCGCCAGTTCAACGCCCCCCCCCCCCCCCCCCCCCGTAAATCAGACGTCACACTGAGGTAAAAACTTACCTTTGCGACCCCACCTGGAGATGACCGTTTCATGCGGAGATAATATACGCTGGGGGGAAAAAAAGAGCCGAAAATAAGTTACAGCGCTTTTTTTTTCTTGCCTTGGATGACGGATGAAAACACGCACGTGGATGAAACCACCTTACCCCCCGTCTGCCGAACGCGCAAGGGAGAAAAAGTAACGCGAGGCACGCCGCCGTGATGGTTTGCATCGTCTTGCTGCGCGGTGTCCGCGGGGGGAACCTGGTTTCCAGGAGTCGTCGGAAGGTCTGTCACGTCACACCAGTGAGTTTCCGAGTCCTCCGCCTGGTTTTGGTCATAGGAGACGTGGGAAACCCTGCAAGTAGTGTCCTGTTCCACACACTTTGCCGCATTGAGTAAAGCCGTTGCGTCATGGGGCTTGTCTATCTCTGAGGCCTCCTTTATCCCGGCCGGTGTTCCCTCTGCGGCTCCTCCGCCTGCGCCCACGCGCTGCGGGGGGAGGACGGGCCCGGAGAGCTCGGAGGCGGAGGCGGGGGGGGGGGGGGGACGGTGCCGCGAGACGCCCCTCGCCCGCCCTTTCGTTGGGGGGTCACATAATATACGTTTTTATTTGGGTTTAAGATGTAACTTCTGGAGGTTTTTGTTTTAATTGGTTGTGTTAATAATATATGTGTATATATATAACATAGTATTATGCAATTCACTTTTGATAGTTAACGTTAGCCTGTGTGCTAAGCTAACGTTAGTTATGTATGACCATGACTTTGACAGTCAACATTTAACGTCACATTAAACTTATTCACGTTAGATAATGACAGAGGATTGAGCTAACGTTAATATTAAAAATACCGAACAATTTAATTCTGTACAGATTGATGTTAGTTTAGTTACATTTGTGTATTTTAGCATGTTTAGCAGCTAGCTAGCGTTAGCTTACAACAAGCGCTCTAACGTTAGTGAGTAAAGTCCGGCGCATGCTTCTGTTTCTGCGTCTTTACGCACTCGTTTCAATTCATGGTTCTAAAAGTCTTGCGTGTGTTGCAGAGCAATTCACCTCCAGAACAATAAGTGGAGTAACGTGTTTCTGTTGAAGACGACCTAGAGAGTCACACCTTTGTGTGTGGAAGTTGTTGGTTTGTTTATTTATTTATCATAGACTTTATTGCTTTTGTCCCGTATTTTCCTCCACAACTTTGTTCTCTTCGACCGGCAAACGACGTTTGCGGAGATCTCCCTCCATGAATCAGAGGCCATCCGCGCGCTCTCATAGTCCACCAATGACGGCTTGTAGAAGTGGTCATATTTACGCATTTCTTCCGACAAAAGCTCTTCAATTTGATTAATTCTCTCGTGAAAATCATTGTTTTAATAAATCGTTTTAATAATAGAGGCTTGCGTCTCTGAAAACGCACAACCATAAACTAGGCTTAACTGGGTTAGCTACGTTGATTAGCTACTAGTTAACCCAGTTAGCTAACGAAACCCTGCCATTTACGGTAAATAAGAGCGACGACTTGTCAGAGGAGGTGACTCGGGCCAAAGTAGCCAATGTTACAACAAGAGATGCAACATAAGAGTCAGCTTTAATCTTTTAAAAATACCGACACACAGAGAGCAAAGTGGCTCCGAGAGCTAAGTCAAGTCTAGACTTGAAAGCATCCACAGCTGGGCCATTGGGCCTATCTCATGTCTCCGAGTAAGATAAGGCCATATTAAGGAGCTGGAAGGAAAACGCTACTGCTCTCATTAAGAATTCAATAATGACAGTGCCTTTGAAACAAAGGGAAATCTGAAAGTAAAGTGCCCAACCCTCCTCAATGGCCTATGTGTTGCATTCCAGCAGTAACATGCTGTGTCAAGACTAACCCTTTAAGTCCCATAGTCTAACCTCTAATTTCCCCCAGCTGCAATAATCTCTCCAGATGCTGAGCTATAAACACCAGGTGGAGGCTGGACAGCACGTCCACACTGAATCCTGAATTCAGTCCTGAATTATAGTGCGTTTCCAAATACGAAATTGTTCATTTCCGTTAATCATTTACAATTCTGACTAACTTAGCGAACACGTTTAGCCGGCCCGATGTGACAAGTAGGAGAATTCTCAGTTGTGGATTCCTTGCGCAGCACATGTGGTTATAAACCACAACAAAGTATTCCAAGTATTTTTTTTTTACAAGGGTGGCTGGAGGTTAGAACGGGATGGTGAGGATCGACGAGCTGTCAGAAATACTAGGATTAATCCTACTACGTTAAATGTGCAAAAGAGAAGAAGAGTTTTGTTGGAATTTACAGCCATCAAAGCTTTTTAATCATTTAACACGTGGACATCCTCAAAATCACGGAAGCAGGAAGCACAGGAACAGAGGTACCGTCATGTATTATCTGCAAAACATAGGAGTGATATAACGGAAATATTTAAATATGCATTAAAACTGTGATTTGCCTCCCTTTTCATCCTTAAAAACAGAGTCCTGTCTCGCATGTGTTCCAACAAAAGTGGGCACTTATTTCTAATAGGTCAACAATTTAAGATTCACAAAACTCATTGGCTTTTCTGGAGTTTTCAAATGCGCGCCAGACTTCCTCAGCCTCAGTAGGTGGACATTAAGTCAAGATTCCCTCATCAAACTTCATACGTCAATACTACTTATACTTATTAGCTTCATTAATGGTTTATTCCTTGGCTCCTACATATTACAATATAACATCGTTTACTTTTTAGTAAACTATTCAATTCATTTTGATGGCCTATTAGAAAGGAAATAATTACTACAAACCCATTGATAACCACCTATCTGAAACGCATGCCCTGCTTAAAAAGTACCCCAAACTTCATATTCCTGCTTCTTACACGGTCCTTGGTCTTCGCGGCTCTTAATAAAATTCCTTTGCTTATTAAACCACAACAAAACCATATCACTGTCCAAAGAAAATCACAACCAGTACAAAAATCCTACAATATCACGGCAGAATTGGTAACAAATTTCCAATATCTATCCCCGGAATGTAGATTAGATTATAGGGGGGTGTTCATGCAGCCCAGCGTTCATCTCATTCCCTTTTGAAAGACAGTGCCTCGGGGTTTAAAAAGTGCAGCAGTGGGGGCGGAGGGGGGGGGGGGGGTTCCGTTTAGACAATCGTGGCCTTGTACAGGTCCGTCTTGCAGTCCGTGCGCCCCGGCGCGTCGCGGCCGCTCGGGGGGGGCACCGACGGGCCGTTCCTCAGCTTGCTCTGGCACTGCCGCAGCTCGGCGACGTAGCCCTGGAAGCTCAGGCTGAGCTCGGAGTCCTCTCCCCGGGAGGTTTCCGGCGTTCCCTCCTCCAGGTGAACCCCCTCCACGTCCATCGCTTCCGGCACGTCCCGGGGAGCAGCGTTGGCGCCGGCGGCGGGGGGCGATTCGGTGTCGGCGGTCGGGCTGGTTCCTTTCTCTGTGCACCATAGGAAAAAGCACTTTCAGGATGTCGCTCTAAACTTCTACCAGATTATAGCACACGTTGTTATAACATTAACAAAATATCCAAAAGTCCTCACAAAATGAGCTTTTTCTCCGACGCCTCATTGGAATTGTTAAGACGTACAAAATTGCGGCATTTCCATCGAAATGAGATTGACAGGCCTGTTCGTCGACCAGGATCAGCATCGTGGGAAAGGGTCGGGCAGGCAAAAGATGGACGCGTAACCTTTGAACATTCCACCAAAGAACAGAAGCTTCCAGAAGTGGTCGTACTGGCACACGGGACGTTGCGGTCTCATATTAAGAGTGTTACACTTTTCATGGCTAACTGCTATAAGGAAAGGGACATTTTACAAATTCTTCTGTCAAAAACGATTTGTTACTGATGTTCTTTGGCTGATTTGTCGCTAGGGCTTTACCGAAGAGGCGTTGCTGTAGGTCTATTTTCTCAGCAGTTTTAACAGCAATAGTCGCCTCACAGCAGGAAGGTCCTGGGTTCAACTCCGCCCAGTGGCCTTTCTGTGTGGAGTCTGCATGTTCTCCCCGTGTCTGCGTGGGTTCTCTCCGGGTTCTCCGGCTTCCTCCCACAGTCCAAAGACACGCTCTGGGGATCAGGTTGATTGGGGACTCTAAATTGCCCGTAGGTGTGTGGATGTGAATGTGAATGGTTGTGTGTCTCTGTGTAGCCCTGCGATTGGCTGGCGACCAGTCCAGGATGTACCCTGTCTATCACCCGAAGTTGGCCGGGATAGACTCCAGCCCCCCCGCGACCCTGTGTGCAGGATAAGCGGATTGACGATGGATGGATGGATCAAATATAACTTTGTGAATAGTGAAAGTCTTCTCCCGGCTGTGGGGCTTAAGTGGTTTTATATGTTGATGAGCGTGGTCCTTCTCAAGTTATCCCTTTCACAGTTTTACATCACATCATAACGTTGTTGTTGTTGTTGTTGTTGTTAAAAATGACTAAACAAACATAGATACAAAAAAAAGAGTGGTTCCTTCTGTGTGCAGCGTTGGCTCACGTGGACCTGCAGGCGACTGAGCTTTGCCTTCTCATCAGTCTGGACGTTTAGCATGAATGAGACTTCAGAGGGACTAAGGAATGGAAAGCGTCCCCCATGGTGCGCGTGCACATTGCACTTTTAACTCCACACCGCTCAAATGAACACATCGGGTTAACATCCGTGCGTAATCTATCTGCGTGATGTGGACAGCGGTCGTAGAAAGAAACAAAAGACTCTTCGGCTCCAACTTGCTGAACCCGCTCGCCAGGTCACGGGACAGAGCGGAAGGGAATTGCTGCAAGGTTAAATGCACTACTTCGTGGGCTTGTTGTCACATGTGGTGTATTGCAACATTACCACATGTGCCTCGTTTCAGACCAAAAACGCTGCTGCATGACCTCATCAGGCAGTTAATGAAAGTTTTAAGTGTTCTGTCCCCTCTTCTCACGCCGGTGCACTCAGGCGCCTACAGATCTACAGTTTTTTGGAATGCGGGGGCACCGCGGGTTCTGATGGCTGATGAGCTTTCCACTTCTAATGTGAACCGCCCCCCCACCTACCCCCCCCCTCCGGATTCTAAACACAGAGCGGCCTGAGTGACTCTAAAAAGCAGAGTCACGCGTATACTCTCCTCGCTGTGCCGACGGTGATTCACCGCCGTTCAGCTCCGGAGGTAAACACAGCCTGTGAGCTCCAACAGCTGTCCGCACCGGGCGGACCCTCCGCCGCGCTGCAGAACCAGAACCTGCTGGGGGGGGGGGTTGCCAAAAACATACTCAAGTGCCCGAGGCCGGAAGTCCGAGGCTGTGGTGCTGATTAAGATCTAATAAAGAGTTTAACACAATACAAAAAAATCCTGCATTGTTAGAATTTGTTTGTAATCCCGATTCTCCCGTGAAGTACAGGATAATTGAACCTCTTTGTCCCTAGAATGTTATATATTTTTTAAGATAAGCCAAATATACCAAATATAAGAAATAAACTTGTGGCTCATCCATTGAGCCACCATACCACTAGTTTTATTTGCAACGTGGTGATAATTCAAACAGGTCTTTTAAAAAAGGGAAACTCCAACACCAAGTATTTATTTTACATTTTTTTGGATCAACATGCAACTCTCGGCTGTTTATTATTTTCTTTCTCTTTTTTTTTTTTTTACCCCAAAACCTTTTTTTTCTTCTTCTTTTCGACGTTCAGGCCGGCTCACTCTGCTGTGACGGGATGAACACAGTGTCTCGACACAGACGGTGAACCATGTCCACTGTGTCCACTGCGTCTCCTCTGGCGAGTCTCGTCAGCAGCCTGGAACTGGACCAGCTACAGCTGCCAAAGATCCATGTCGAGCCCTTTGTATTATTTAGCCCTGAATTTAACGCTCAGTGGGAGCGAGTTCATGTCTGTCCTTTCAAAGGGAGTTACGCTGTGCAACTTCGCCCTTTACGGGCGGTCCTCATGCCACCCCCCCCCCCCCCACCACCCACACCAACAGGTTGCCAGACACCGAGAGGTGATTACAGCCACAATTAGGAAATAATGGTAATGGCCTGCTTCCCAGTCGAGGCGGCTCATCTGGGTGCAGACCAGAGGCCTTTTAGTTTGGTTCCTTAACGGGCTAATTAGGGGCTAATTTACACTTGATATGCCGACTAAATGCAACCACCTGTGGGGCTGGAAGTCCTCTGTGTACCCTCTACTTCCCTGTAGAGACACGGCTTTTATTAGGAATTCTACCCACTATAAAATTCCAATGTGGTCTATTAACACCTTTTAATGTGTTATGGATTTGTATAGTTTGATGACTTGTGCACTCAGAGGAAGAACGCGTAGGCCGGACTTTGTCTTCGGCGTAGCTGTAGCTCTTTATTATTCGTGACGTAATGGCAGAGATGTCTGAAGAACGCGTCGATCCACCTTTAGCGGCACGCTGCTCCGTTGGAGACAGCAGAGGGCGTCAGCTCAACAGGGACACGCGCTGTCCACCGAGTTAAGAGGCACGGGCCTGAATCACAGCTCCGCTTCTATTTCAGGGAGAGGGAGAGAAACGGGGGCCGGGAGATGGGAGGACCAAAGCGGCAGCGACAGTTTCTATCCGTGGCTCAGCCGACTCGTGGATAAGGTTACCATGGCGCCCGGTGGTGGGAAGAATCAGGCCGGTTGCACTTAGCAACCATGAAAAGATGGAGCGAGGAGCTTCGATCCTTCCCCCGGATTCTCCCGCACATGCCTCGTATTAAAGCCTGGCTGTTAGTTAATACGAGGCCCCCCCGGGGGTTTGAAGTGTGAGGGGCTTTGTTGCACGAGTCTGTAGGGTTCGCAACGGAGGTTTGAAGTCAGGAAGCTTTTGGCCGTATTTGATGGATTCCCAGCAACCAGCAATCACAAGCATCACAAATCTATTGGCCATTTGATTGTTTTCCTCATTTCACAAACTAACACGGAGGAGGAGGAGGAGGAGGAGAGGGAAATACAACATGGAAATAACTATCTCCGCGAGATGACAACAATCTAGCCGGCCCACACACAAAGAGTACGACAAAGCTTTGAAAACACCCGTTTAAAAGAAGACGCAGCAAAAAAAGACCCACAATGCCGCGCTGAGGCGACACACAACAGAGCAGTGACCCCATTAAATAACAATACACCAAGGAGGTGGGCCAGGAGGTGCTCCAACGACAGCGAACAAACACCGCACTGGGCAATCAAGAGCCGACAACACACAAAAACACACACAGCAAGCGGCGACACCCTGAAACCAGCACACAGAAAAGTACACAAAGGAGTGGGCGCTGAAGAGAGGAGAAAGCCACAGGACAATTATGAGACAGAGCTAAGGCAGAAAAGGAGGGGGGGGGGGGGAGGAGGCATGCGGAGGAGGAGAGGGCGGAGGAAGAGGAGGCGGAGGATGAGGGGGCGGGCATGGAGAAAACAGAGATCATAAACGTGTAAAAAGACAGACAAGAGTGATTTCCAATTCTAACATTTATTAGATCTACTCAATCACAGGTACAGAGTTTATTGGCAGTGGTTATCTACAACAAGCATCTAGAGAAGGAGCGAACGACGGGCAATTCAACCATGTCCCCGGCAGCCAAGGAGCACTTGTCCTCCTCTGGTGACTAATTGTTTCTTTCGGCCTTTGTCCAATTTGCTGACATCATTTAGTGACTCACCGGTTGGAGAGAAGCGTTTGGACATCGTTGAATTGCTCTGAACTTGAGGTGGTGGGACGGAGAGGAATACGGTAATCATACCGTACCGACCGTCACGGGTCCAACACTGCAAAACAATTTCACGGGGTCTGGTTCGCTACGGCGGTTTTCCTCACTGTGCATAATCAACCCCCGGATGCCGGGGAGCACAGCTGCTGATCTCATCGCCTTCAGCCGTCCTAAGTTCCGTGCGCGCTGAGCGGCGCTTTTCTTCGCGGTCACGAGCTCATGTCAATCAGCAATTCTCGCGCACCCCAAACTACTGAATGAACAGCTGAATAGCTAACAGGAGTGAAGTAAACCCCACGTGGCGAACCCGACAATCTGTGGCGTGGGAAGTGACGTCCAAGTGAGACGTTGCTCACTGAACAGAATACACACACATCCCTATTTACAAGGCGGGTCACACGCATGCTTTGAGGCGTTGAATAAGAATACATCAGTTTCATGGAGCGGCACACTGAGGAAGTGTCAGTATCAATTTCTCACTAAAGTGCATCACAGTCAGTGTGGAGGGAGTTTAATGGGGGTTTAGACCACCGAGGAGTCGAGGAGAGGGGGGTGGCACACATGCACACACCTCACACACACACACACACACGCACGCGGAGCACTGGTTCGTTACACTGCAGAAGTACCTGAGCGTGACTTTCCCTCTCCACCCGCGTCTTGAGGGGGGGCGCAGGGGGGCGGCGGGGTGAAGTTCGCCTCGGGCAGGCTGCCGTCGAAGGGCGGCATCGGGGACGGGGGCAGCAGGGTGCTGTTGGGGCTGCTGATGTCGCCCTCCCCCACCAGAGTCAGGTCGCCGTGGGCGTCCTCCTCCACGGTGCGGAGGATCGGCCGGGTGTCCAGGGGCCGGCAGATGGGCGAGAGGTGGGTGCCGAAGGTGGAGTGGCGAGGAGGGGGCATCAGGCACCGCCTGTTGCCGGAGTGTCCGTTGGCGCTGGAGCCGAGCGAGGAGTCCAGGCTCTCTGAGCGGAGGCCGGCGGTGAGGGACCCCCGCGGTGGGACGCCGTTCTCCCGGCCTTGTTTGAGGGAGTCTGGGGTGGAGCAGGCCAGGGCGGAGGAGGAGGTGGAGGAGGAGGAGGTGGCAGCCGGGGTGAGTCGCAGGAAGTCGGGAAGCACCAGGTCTTCCTTGCTCAGGAGTCCGCGCTGGTCGTTGGCTCGGCTGCTCTGCGCCCGGCTCAGCAGCTCAAAGAATTCTGCGTTACAAAAAAAAAAAACAGATCAGACAACTTCCCCCCGCTTCAACTTCCCCCAGCGGGGAGCCTCCCGGAAGGGGAAATGATCGGCCGAGGGTCAACATCGGTTAGTCCCGAGGCAAAGCGAAGCAAAGCCAAAGAAATCCACCGAATAAGTCAAAGAGAGAAAGAAGGACGAGAGGGATTTACCTTCAGCTTCATCTATATTAATCTTTTTCTGTTTTCTCTTTTCTCCTGGGAGGGCGGAGTCTTGTCCACTCACAGAGAAGTCCTTTGGTGTTGACCTCTCATCTCCCTGCAGATGCAACAATAACAATGCACTCTGTTAGGGGATGGAGGGCTGGGGAGAGATCAGGTTTTGGGGTGTGTGTGTGTGTAGGGGAGGTGGGGGGGGTCGTAAATGGGGAGGCTAAGCAGGACCCGTCGAGCACCCTACTGAGCACAGTGTCCGGATTTAGTGACCCCCTCGCGTAAGGGATGGCGGCCTCGTCCATCTGTGCCCCCCCGCGACCCCCACCCTTCTGGCGTTCCTGGTTGCTACCTGCCTACGAGCGGTGCAAGCGTGGAAAGCGAGCGAACCGGTCAGCCACAGGCAGTGCGAGGGACGAGGAGCAGGGACTAGAAACCCGCCCTCGTCAAAGATGGGGAGCGTTAACAAGAGACGAAAGCGGGCCACCGATAGAAGAAGGTGCACGGGTAGCGTAAGCAGCGCAGCAGTGGGATGTCGGGAGCGCTTACCGTGGCAGAGAAACTTTTGCTCGGAGGGTGGTTTTTTAGGGAGGAGGACTTCGATTTGTCTGTTCGAGAGAGAAAAAAACAAAAACGAAAAATGAATCATCAGGCTGAAATAAATGAGAGGACATTTTGGACGCACTAAACCAAGTGAAGACAATGTTCCGCTGGGATGAAAAACGTCCTGTACCTACTGTGGATTACCAGGGATTTTTGCTACGCGTGTTCTTACCTTTCCCTGAAGCCGAGTCGATTCGGTCCAAAACCACGCGCAGGCCATCCAAGCTCGATATGGGGGCGCCCAGGTCCAAAGGCTCAGTTTCCCCGCTCTGAGACGGAACACAGCGTGATGGGCAACACGTTAAGAGTCTTCGCCCGTTGTGCAGAAGAATAAACATAATCATCATTCCTCTAATTCTCTGTTTAATGTATAAACTATTTGTGAGCGCTGGGCTCCTGTGTAATATTGTTATAATGCCCAGAAGAAGAAAAAAAGCCACAGGACTAAAATAAATCTTCTGGCTGGGGCGAAGGGGAGGAGTTGGCGTGTTTAAAAAGTGTCGTCATTCTTAATTATAGCCCCGGAGGTCTGTCTTTGGAGGCCGGGCTGAGTCAGAGCGCTAACCACCGAGGGGAGATGGAAAAGGATGCGGTCGCTTCCCTCCCCCTAAACCATGATGCTCCACCCTGTGGCAGCGTCACACGCTGCTCCCCGCACACACGGGAGCTTCAAACGGGAAAAAAAAGAAGAAGAAGAAGAAGAAGAAGAAGAAAAGATTTAAGGCATTGTAGCCGCCGGGTGGGACTTACTACTTTGGCCACAAGATCGCTGAGGTGGAGGCCGTATTTGGCCACCACGGGACGCAGGACCTCGGTGACCGGCTTGGTGGGTTTGGCTTTAAGCCCCACGGAGCGGTTAATGGGCACCAGGTCCAGTCTGGGGGGGGGGGGGCGGGAGAAAGGGCACAAGTAAATTGCAGCGCAGACCTAAAAGTACGGGCAGAATAGGTCACCTTTCAAAGAAATCGCCGGATCCCGCAAACTTTGATTCATTATTCATACCTAAACCAAGTCCGCTTCTCAACCCTCAGCTCCCGAGAGCTGAGGGTCATGCAGTCCTGGTCCCACACCAAAGGCTGAGAGAAAAAAGATAAATTACACTAGGCACACATAAAGCTCTCGTGGAAAAGCATGAAAAAAACACTACGTGCTATTGTCCACTATAATCTTTCAATTTCACTTGGGTTTCATTGCCAAACTGAAAGCGGAGTGCCGTCGTGCTGCATTAACCAAAACATAGATGTGCAGCGGAGGCTCGAAGGCGTCATCGCTAGTCCTCACCTTCTCCCCTCCCACCAGGAAGAGGTCGACAGCAGCGATGTTGATGCTGATGCTCCGGCAGAGGTCCTGCAGGACTTCCCTTATGGAGGCGCCGGGCCGGAGGCTGAGCGAGGAGCAGGAGCCGCTGGGCAGCACCACGCTGCAGTGTTTGGGGGAGCGCTCCCACGCGGAGTGACGATTGTCAGACTGAGGACGCAGGATTAGGAAAAGAATGAGCAAAGATCCGCATCGTGGCTTTTAAAGTGTTAAAGATCCACAGAGTCGGTTTTTTTCTCTTCTTCTTTACTCTATGATTCATGCCATCCATAAACAAACAACGAGTGGGCTGACAAGAAAACTGCAACTATGGCCGGCTTCAGCAGACACGGGGCTCTGTGTTGCCATGGCGATCCGTCCGGAGGAATCTTACCTCAATCTTGCCAGCGGAGCAGGAAGTGGCCATCTCCAGACTGGTACCGGACGACAAGGAGCCCTGGGACTCCCTCCGCCCATTACTGCCCCAGTGATCTGCACAAGAGCGCACCGGATGATGAATTCATGCAGATAAGAGACGCTGCTTACATGAAAGGACGCTCACAATCTGCAACAACGGGACATTGCAGTCAAGCTGTGGGACGACTTATGACACCAAACAGGCAAAAGAGCGAATGTCCTCACAGAAGATATTTTACATTTTTTTCAGTTTCAGGAAATTGTGCTGCAGCTACATTTAGGGGGGGCATTTATGTTGAAGCACGCGTGTGATGTGGTTCAATTCATCAAGAATTCCCATGATTGAAATGGAGATCATTTAAATGGGAGAAAGACGCTATTTTGTATGTTTTGTATACTAAAATGACTACTTTCAGAGAAATATATTTACAAACAAAACGCTTACTAATATATTCCATAAAGCTTTTATTCCATAAAGTCAAAAAATTTGATCTGGGAACGACATCAAAGTCATTCGAAGCCTTTGAAGTAGATAAACCTGAAGCTATAAATCATTAAAATCCCCAACAAAAGTTCAGAATCAGCATGTCAATCGACCTCATCTTGGTATTTTGCCTCCTTTTAAAGCCCGCGCCCCCCCCCCCCGCATTGCGCTCATGGCTACCCGGGGCCTGACGGAGACTGGGTGTCCTGTTCGAGGACGCATCAGGAGGTCCGGCGCGTTGCCAAAGCCTTGAACAGGGACCGGCGTGCTGCCGGCTCGACGGTCGCATTCATTCTCACCGAGGTTAATGTCGCCGACGTCCTTCTTCTTCGGGCCCTTCCCGAAGCTCCTGTTGCGTGACCACGAGAAGAACATGCCGCGTTTCTTGTCGGCGCCCTCATCCCTGCTCTCCTCGGTCAGCGACCTCCCCGACCTCTGCTTGCTGGCCTCCTGTCGTTTGGGCAACAAAACGGTTTTAACTTGTCGTACTGGGAGTGTTTTTTTTTTCCCCTTCTCCCACCAACAGTAACTTTGATACAGTCCAAAAAGCAACGGCGTCACCTTTTTGGGAGTGGAGAGGGTGGAGCGGTCGGAGCCGGCACTGTGCTTAGAGGGCGCCCGGACTGCAGGGGATCTGGTAGGGGTCCGGCAGCGGCCGGCCGTCCACCTCGGCGCACATGCACTCCTGGTAAAGGGAGGACTTGAGGAAGCGCGAATAACTGTCGAACTTCATCAGGTTGAAGATCTGTGGATGCAAACGGAGGGCGAGTCAAGTTAAAACAGTTAAAGAGATGGAGGGGAAGAAGTGAGATCACTAGGGGTCACTAAGGGTCAAACGACACATCGACGGATACAAGAGGGCGGAAAGCACTAGTGTCAACATATGGTTACGGTAGATGTTATGACGGATCCCGACAGTTGGCGTCCATCGTGCTCATGTGGCAGCTGGTTACACAAAGCGCCGACTGCGCGTCTACGTGTCAGGGTGCGCTGGGTTCGCCGTGGGCGGATGGCAGTTTGTGTTCATCGCTCTCGCAAAGGCTCGCGGGCCCTTTTTTCTTAAACAGACCCAGATGGCCGCCAATGAAAAACCCAATATGCTGGAGAGTGAATGGAGCACTAGATGAGAACGCGATGAGAACGAACCCACCCTCCGCTAACACGCGCGTGTGTGTGTGTGTGTAAATGAAGACAAGAGACGGCGGTCCTGCCGCTACCTGTAGCTGCTGCGTCTTGAACATGTCGGGCCGCGGGGAGGTGAGCACGTCGTCGGCCAGCTGGGCCTGGCTGTCGATGTTGACCGGCATCGTGGCCTTGCTGGACAGGAAGCTGTTGTAGATCTCCCCGGCTCTCTGGGACAGCTGCAGGGCGCAAATCAGAGCAGCATTTGGCAGCTATTTTAGATTTAGTCTTAGGCTTTAGACGAAAAATGCATATTAGTTTTAGTCACATTTAGTCATTTTAATCCTTCTTAGTTTTAGTCACATTAAATAGCCATATTAAACTCATTTTCTTCCCTTCTCAGGCCCAGGACCCCCTGTGTTGTGTCTACAGCTGCATAATAGTCTAGCTTGCAGTACTTGGTTGTCCATCAGATGTCCCTCCTAGGACAGGTCTATAGCCGAGGTCGGCAAACTTTTTGACTCGCGGGCCACAATGGGTTGTAAAATTTGACGGAGGAGCTTAGGCCAAGAACAAATGGTTGAAGTGTTTGTGTGAGCGAATATAAATGACAGGTGAAAAATCATTACATGAAAGGATTTGGATTTTGACAAATAGAAAAGCATTTATTTGCAAGGCAATTTAACAAATTGGCAAAGGTGTAACAACTTGTCTAAACGCAACACTTTGTTGTCTTTGTCTGTTTACTTGCAGTGCTTTTGAAACTTCATGCTCCTTTATTGTTTCCACTGTCCCAACAAGAGACCCCTTAACGTCCTACAATTGTTGCAATACATTATTTCCTTGGCTTCAGAACCTGCAATGACTTTATTATGTTAGACGTGTTAACAGCCCCGAGCTGTTAAACGGGTCTTCATGTTTCTCTGAAGCAGCGCCGCTAAACCGAGACAGCTGAGCTAAACTAAGGAAGCCACATTCAAACTCGCCGAAGCGTAAAATAGTCGTCGCGGTCCGTAGTCGGTGCACAAGAACCACCGATGCGAGCGTTCGGGGTTCGTGGATGACGTCATCATGACGCGTTAACATCCGCCGTACTTTGCCTGTCTGTTGTCTGTCGGCTGAGTCCGACTTTAGGGGGATAAAAGTATTGTGACTTCGTCAACCACCAACATGTTCGTCTCGTCTCGTTAATGAAAGTTAGAATAGATTTAGTCAGTTTTTATTTTTTAAGATCGTTTTTGTCACATCTTAGTCTCTCGTCTTAGTCATGGAAAAAATGTTCGTTAAGCGAAAAATTTTCGTCATAGTTTTTGTCGACGAAATTAACACTGAATCAGAGGGTGGGAGATTTTCAAGTGTGGGAAAAAAAAACACGTAGCCGCACGACTCCTCATTTAACATTTCGTTGATCCAGCTAATGTGGATCAGCCCCTTTGCAAATAGGGGCGATTTTATTGTGGTCCAGAGCGAGAACCTAAAACCTCGCATGGACATGTCTTTATTTCATCTGCCTCTAAAACATTCACATTATATAATCTGAGGGAAGGAAAATTCTCTTGATATTTAATCTGAGAGGTCACACATTTTGATTTACTCGAGCGTCTTATTGAGACTAAAAACATTCCAATTTCCTCACACTGAGGACCAACCTGCTTCTTATCAGCTGCAGGGACATGACTGAAGTATTCGCAGGCCTGCCAGAACAAGATATTCTCCTCGCTGAATTCTTTCTTGAGAAATTCCTGTGGAGACACACAGCACAACAGCTTTTACGGGATCTCGGACTCGTTCCATCCTCGGCGTTCTGGGGAGCGACCGGCGGTGCGACGAGGCAGCGGTGCGAGAAGTGGTCGGGTGTGATGTTGCGAAGAAGACAGAGTGTGGGCGAGGGACGGCGTGGGACGGCGTGGGAGCACAGTCCAGCTCGGAGGGAAGGTGAGGAGAGAGGTGGTTTCTGGGACGCCGCGTTGTGGGCCCAATTTTAAAAGGCACATCTTTTATGTGGGAGGTAACGTGGACGAGGCGCCTGTTCTCAGGGAGGTCGGACATTGAGAACTGGGCCACAACCAGTTTCAAATCTCTATATAAACCCGGGGTTCAACTAAATTCAATGATAAGATGATGGCCTGTACCTGGTCTACTACTGCTCGCCAACTTTGTTTTACTTTTTTTTCGGTGGGGGGGGTTAAGTGAGACAGGATTCAATCAATCGATGGAACCTTTTTGTTTCTTTTTCTTACCGAGAAGTAGCGCACGCCCACCGGGTCCTGGAGGAGGCGTTCGAAGCAGGCGGCCCACCTGGCGACGCGCTGCTCGGGAGCCCCTCGGAGGCTGCCCCCTCCAGGAAGACTGCCATTGCTGTTCAGGCTGCTCTGGCTGCAGCATCCCTGCAGCTGGACTCTGCTGTAGTCTGCAAGGGCCGGTAGAAAAAAAGGATCAGCCTGTGGTGTTAAGAAAGCTT